AGGGATAACAGCCTAAGCACAGGCTCTTAAAGGGATAACAGCCAAAAAACCTGCTGACTCATTCCCCTCATTGCATCAGCTGGTCAGCTCTTGAATTGTTACCTTGACAAAAGCCAACTTGATGTCGCGTCACCCAGAGAACATTTAGACCACCTGGTAAATTTTACCCAGTGCAGATGGGTGGAAGCGCCTCAGAAGGAGAGCCAACCTTGAAATGAGGAGGAATTTCCTAACGGTGAGAACGATGGAATCGCTCACGATGGAGTGGTGGGTTCTCTCCATCAGTGGAGGATTTCAAGAAAAGATTGGACAACCATTTGTCTTGGATGGTGGAAGATCTCTTGCCTTGGGGTTTGACTAGAAGACCTCCAAGGTCTCTTCCAGCCCTAAGATTCTATGAAGTCAGATTTACTGGAGCAATTTCTTGCACCTTCCAATACATGATAGCAGTCTTCCAGTATCTGAGGGGCTGCCACAGAGAAGAGGGGGTTGGCCTAACTCCAAAGCCCCTGAAGGCAGGAGAAGAAGCAACGGATGGAAACTAACCAAGGAGAGAAGCAACATGGAACTAAGGAGACATTTTTCCTGACAGTGAGGGCAATTAACCAGTGGAACAGCTTGCCACTAGAGGTTGTGGATGCTCCAACACTGGAGATTTTCAAGAAGAGTATCGACCTCCATTTATCTGAAATGGTAGAGGGTTTCCTGCCTGGTTGGACTAGACTAGAAGACCTCCAAGGTCCCTCCCACCTCTGTGATTCTGTTAATATTCATGGTTTGAAAGAGCCTATCTGGAAAACCACGAGTTGTGTTTAAGGCCAAGGTGGTGGGAAGCTGGCTAGTCTGACTCTCCAGGATGTGATGCAATGCAATACAGCATCCGGTTAACCAGGTTCTTGAGCTTGGTTATTGGCTTGTAGATGTTTAATGAACCAATTAGGTATCATCAGTGCTAGAAGGGAGGGGGGTTGCGAGGAGGGGGAGGCGGAGGACGACAACAACTTTGGGGTCTTTGGTGCTCGCTGAGCTTGGTTGTTTTCTCTGCCGACGTTTTGTGACCCAACTAAGTAACACCATCAGTCCAGAAAGGAATGGGGGGTTTTGCATTCTATTTATATGCAAGTAGCCTGCCCTATCAGTGTTGGAGGGTTCTTGCTGGCTCCTTGATTAGGCTGTTGTTTCATGTTTGATGGTTTGTACGAGTTGGTAATGCCGTGTTTGGCGTTTCTTTATTGCTTGATTGTTGATCTAGTATTAATTTTGGTGTTAATCTCTGCTTATCGGGGCGTTCATTGCTGGCAAAGAAGAGTTTTGGCCTTTTAGCTTTTTGATTGCCATTTCTGAATGGTGTGCAAATGTTGCTTCTCTCTATGTGCCCATTGATGGCTGATTTGTAAACATCTCTATTTACAAGGAATTCTTTAGCATTTTTTAGGGCTTGGCTTGGTCTAGGATGCTCGTCGTTTTCCAGTTGAAACTATAGTGGGGTATGCTCCATATGTGGGGTAAAATTAAGGAGTTTACATCATGTCTTCTGAGTGACTTTTGTTCTTACTTTAATCAAGCCCCAAAGTTTCTAGGCCTCACCGTGTGCCAAACCTAAGAAAAGTCTGTTGCTAGAAGGAGGAAGAAGGTGTTCAAGACCTACCCTCTGCTTCTGCTCTTCTGTCCGGACATCGCTGCGGACGTTAGCCCAGGGAATGTCTTCTGGCCACCAAATGGGTTTGCAGCTCTCCTTCCCCCAGCCCGGCTTTCCGCGACCCGTTGAGTATTTCAGCATTTCAGGGATGAAAGCTCTCAGCTGGGCCTGTGGCAATAATAATAATAATAATAATAATAATAATAATAATAATAATAATAGTGTAAAGATTGGGGAAGCAAAGGTCTGCATCAGGAGCTTGGCCCATCATAGGTAGTCCTCGAACTTACAACAGTTTCATTTAATGACCTTTCCTAGTTACAATGGCATCGAAAGAAGCGATTTACGAACATTTTTCGCACTTACGATCGTTGCAGCGTCTCCATGATCACACGATTTACGTTCGGATGCTTGACAACGGACTCACATTTATGACGGTCGCAGTGTGCCGGGGTCACGTGATCCCCTTTTGCAACCTTCTGACAAGTCAAGTGGGAAGCTAGATTCACTCAACAACCGTGTTACTAATTTAACAACTGCAGCGACTCATTTAACGAACGTGACGAGAAAAGCCGTAAAATGGGGCAAAACTCACTTAACAAATTTCTCACTTACGGATATAAATTTTTGGCTCAGTCGTGGTCATAAGTCGAGGACTACCTGAACAGATCTTATCGAGATGCAAGAAGGTCATCATTATATTTATGAAATTTATACGCTACCTACCTCACTATCCAAAGATATTTATTTGTATTTATTTATTAAATTTATTTGCCATCCATCTCAACCAGAAGGTGAGCCCGAGAGGCTTACAATGTCAAAATATACGTCTTAATATTTTTATTTATTTAGGAAATTTATGTTGCCGCCTATTCGCAGCTGGCAACTCAAGGCGGCTTACAAGAATATAAAAACCTCATATGAAAAAAAAAAACCAATAAAACTAATAAAAGAGAGAATCATAAATTAATAAAATAATATAATCAAATAACCTCCATCCCACTCTGCATTCCCCAGGCCTGCTGGCAGGACCAGGTCTACACTGGGATATACAGTGTTATATCATAATTATATTGTATATAAACATACAATAAATACATATTTAATATACAGATGATATCAAGAGGCAAGCAGCAGACTGGCCCATTACGGATCATATTGAAGCAAGATTTTCAGAGATCCTGGAGAAACTTTTTAACACAAGAGCAAAGTGGAATTTTCTGAATGCATTTTGGGATGGGGCAGGAACTATCAGCCAGAACTCCTGTTCCAGCCCTTGTTCTCCGTACCCAAAAACTTAAGAGCAGAAGTATTCTGCAGTTATTGCAAAGGAGTTTTGAGAGATTTGGAATTTTACTTCTAATAATGCACAGTCCGATGGGGGAAAAAAGGCCATGAAAAAAGAAAAGGAAAGGAAACACCAAAGGAAATTTTACCAGAGATTTGTAATTGCATGCTGCCATCTTAGGTATTGTAAGACTTGAATCTACACACAGGTCGTCCTCGACTTACGACTGTAATTGGGACCAGAATCACCATCGCTGAGCAAGGCAGTTGTTAAGTGAGTCGCATCCTGCTTTTCTCATTGAGCAAGGGGGGTTGGACTAGAAGATCTTCAAGATCCCTTCCAACTCTCTTATTCTGTTATTCAATAAACCCGATATTCTTTTTTGCCACGGTTGGTAAGCGGACCGCTGAGGTTGTTAAGCGAATCATACAGTCGTTAAGCGAATCCGGCTTTGCTGGTCGGATAGCAGCTGGGAAGGTTGCAAATGGCTGATCATGTGACCCTGGGGATACTACGACGGTCGTAAATGTGAGGACCAGTGGTAAATCATTGTTTTCAGTGCTGTTGTAACTTTGAATGGTCCCTTAATGGTTGCAAGTCAAGCACTATCTGTAATGTATTCTTATCCCTCCTTCCATCATCTTCTATCATCCATCCATCCATCCATCCATCCATCCATCCATCCATGCCAGCAAGATGTCTATCCAGGTTGTCCCAAAGGTGTTTTTTCAAAAGGCAACTGGACTTTCTTATTTCTCCTTGAAGACGTTTCGCTTCTCATCCCAGAAGCTTCCTCAGTTCTGACTGAACGGTGAAGAATGGAAGGAAGGTTACTCAGGTGACCCTGAGGGCGCAGATAAACCTCCAAGCGGCCACAAGGACTCTCAGAGAGAGCACTAACGACCAGACGACTGCAAGGAGTCTAAATCCTTCCATCCACCACCAATTCAATCAGAACCGAAGAAGCTTCTCGGATGAGAAGCGAAACGTCTTCAAGGAAAAACAAAGGAAGTCCACTTGCCTTTTGAAAAAACACCTTTGGGACAAGGTGGGAAGAATATTGATGCTTTCGAAGTCTGGCGTTGGAGAAGACTCTTTGAGAATACCAAAACTAAACAAAACGAGGGAATCATCAACCGGATCCATCCACAGTTCTCACTTCTTCAGCTGTTTACACTGTTCTTCAACCCTTCCCATAATGTCGCTATTTACATTTTGTGGAAATTGCCTTGGAAATTCTTGCCGGATGAACCGTGGAGCCTACGAACGTTGTGTGTCATCATGTACAATGGTGCTGCACAAAATGAAGATTATTATTATTTTTTTTAAAAAACCCATGGGGAAATGCTGCAGCGTTTAGGGTGTATTTGTCGGCAGAGTCGCTGATTCTGGCCTCTGAGAGTTGCATCATCCTCTACAGGACTCTGCGGTGTTCTTTTCTTCACGGAGAAACACGCCATTATTGAGGTGCGTGTTTGTCCTCCAGGATATCAAGGGACGGAAGGCTGGAGATTTTGCCCCAACTTAGCACCCGAGGAATCGAATGATCAATTGATTGATTATGTGCCATGAAGTTGGTGTTGGCAAGGAAGTCTTTTGGGTTTTTAGCTTTTGGATTATCTGTTTTGAATGGTGTGTACATGTCGCTTATCTCTATGTGCCCGTTGATGGCTGATTTGTCTGACTGCCAGGCGTCCAGGAATTCTCTAGCATTTTTGGACCTGGCTCGGTCTACGATGCTCCTAGCGACCACACAGATATTTTTGGCTCTAACTCAGCACTCCAGGAATCGACTGAACAATTGATTGATTATGTGCCATGAAGTTGGTGTTGGCAAGGAAGTCTTTTGGTTTTTTTTAGCTTTTGAATCATCTGTTTTGAATGGTGTGTACATGTTGCTTATCTCTATGTGCCCGTTGATGGCTGATTTGCCTGAATGCCAAGCGTCCAGGAATTCTCTAGCATTTTTGGACCTGGCTTGGTCTATAATGCTCCTAGCGACCACACAGATAGATTTGGCTCTAACTTTGCAGAAATTGACCTCAGGAATTGACCAAAGAAAAGTTCTCATTTGTCCAGGTCAGGTCTTTCAACAGTGAGAGCACCCATCATATCATGGCACCTGACTGCTTCAAAACTCAATGAATTCAATTTTCGGCATGTTTTGAAGCTGAAATCTTGTCCTGGCACTCGTCTTTCTCCCTGCATTCGAAGTGCCCTCACTATTTCTTCTGGCTGAAATAGCAAGTCATGTGGTAAATCACATCGTTTTCTCAGTACTTGTCAAGTTTTAGTATTCTTTGTCTTCCAGAATGGATTTCCAACAAATATCGAGGTACTACCGTATCTTAGTCCTTCCACCGGGCCGCTGAGTGTCCCTTCTACCTTTCCTTGCATCAATGTCTTCTCTTCACATCACATGTCCAAAGTAGAATCATTTGAACCTTCAGTCGGAATTTCGGGTTGATTGTCTAACGGTCCATCTGTTTTCATTTGTCCAGATCATAGTTTCCCACCAGAACTGTCAGAACTGAAGAAGCTTCTTGGATGAGAAAGTGAAATGTCTTAAAGAAAAATCAAAAAATCCAGGTGTCTTTAAAATAAAAGCGCCTTTGGGAGATTCATTTGTTGGTTTTCTTGGCTGTCCATGGTCTTCTCAAGAATCTTCTTCAACACCCAAATTCAAAAGCCTCAATATAGTTAGTAATAGCACTTAAGACTTATATACCGCTTTTTACGGCCCTGTCTAAGCGGTTTTACAGAGTCAGCCTCTTGCCCCCAACAATTTGGGTCCTCATTTTACCCACCTCGGAAGAATGGAAGGCTGAGTCAACCTCAGGTAGTTCTTGATTTACAACCATTCGTTTAGTGACGAAGCTACCACGGCACTGAAAAAGGTGACTTATGACCGCTTTTCACACTTACGACCATTGCAGCAATCCCCACGCTCACGGGATCAAAATTCGGACACTTGTCAACTGTATTTATGACGGTCCCAGTTTGGCGACCTTCTGAAAAGCAGAGTCAACGGGGAAGTCGGATTCACTTAACAACCATGTTACTAATTTAACAACTGCAGGGGTTCACTTAACAACGGTGGCAAGAAAGGTCGCAAAATGAGAAAAAGCCTCAACACCTGGATATTTTTGGCTCAAGTACGGTCAATCTGTATTCTTCCAATCCTGCTTGTTCGAAAATGAACTCCTGGTTCCACAGAGGGTAACAGGCGATATTCTGATTTTTGCCCTGAGAATATGTGGCTGCAAAATGTGGGTGAAATTTGATAGGATGATTTTGGATCCTCCTCCTCCTTTTTCTCTGGGTAGGAAGGAAAGGGAGTGACTTTCCTTCCCCCCCCCCCCACAAGGCTTTCTGAAAACCTATTTAAAGAGGTCAAATGACAGGAATGGAAAATTTTATTCCTCCGACTCCGGGATGGAGGTCTGGAGAGTGAAGGGTAGGGCACAACTGCTCAAAGACTGCCTGTCTTCGATTTAAAGACAACCTTCCCTTAACTCAAATGATGTTTCTCTTTCTCTCTACCACACATATGAAATCCAAGATGTTCAGGTTTTCCTAATCATTCCATAAAGAGGCATAATAGCTATGAAAATATCACACTACAGCGCCCCCTAGTGTCTCCAAAATAATCTTGCAATGATTACATTGCAGTATATCGTGATCGGAAAGCAGCTTATGTAAGCTATTTATTTTAAAAAAAAAAAGTTAATCCACAAAAGGTGCAGCACAACTCTTTATGAGTTTGGTATATTGTAGACTGGTGTTTCTCAGCCTTTGGAACTTGAAGAGGGCTGGGTTTCAATTCCCAGAGTTCCCCAGCCAGCAGGCCGAGTCCAGGTATCTTAAAAAGTACCGCTAGAAGAGAATATTTGTAGCTCAGGGTTCAGCTGTTTGGGTCCTTGGTGCTCTGAGCTTGGTGGCTTCCTTTTTTTTTTTTTTTGAAGACATTTCATAACCCAGCTAGGTAACATCATCAGTACGGGCAGGGAAAGGGATTTGCAAAAGAGAAGGAGGAAGAGCAAGAGGAGGAGGATAAAGACTGTGGGGTCTTTGGTTTCAGAACTTGGTGGCTTTCTTGAAGATGTTTCATGACCCAGCTAGGGAACATCATCAGTGCTAGAAGGAGTGGGGTTATAGACACAGGAATCAAATCCCTCTTCCTTCTAACACTGATGATGTTCCTTAGTTGGGTCATGAAATGTCTGCAAGGAAACCACCAAGCTCAGAGACCACCAAGGACCCCCATAATCCATTTCCTCCTCCTCTTCCTCCTCCTCCTCCCCCCTACCAAATCCCATTCCCTTCTAGCACTGATGATGCTACCTAGTTGGGTCATGAAACATCTGCAAGGAAACCACCAAGCTCAGAGAGCACCCAGGACCCCACATCTTCAAGTCCCCAAGATTGAGAAATGATGCCCTAGACCAGTTACGACTAACCTTTTCGGCACTGAGTGCTGAAACTGGAGTGCGTATGCGTGCCGGAGCACCAGAACCTGGAACAGAACAACTGGCCCGGTGCGCTGCACGCCAGACCAGCTGTCTGCTGCGCATGAGTGCAATGGAACCCGGAAGAGTAGCTGGCGTCGGCGCGCGTGCCCAGAGAGGACTCTCCGTGCCACCTCTGGCACGCGTGCCATAGGTTCACCATTACGGCCCCAGACTAACATGATTGCCCAGTTAATCCTCGGTCTTCAGCATGGGGCCACCTGCCCCGAAGAAGACCTTCTTCCTCTACGCAATGGGCCCTCTTCAACTCACCCCAAAGGCCTGTGGGGTGTGATTTTATTTTTTTTTTAAACCTGCTTCTTACGAACGCCACTCCTGCAAGGGAAAAGCAGACCAAGTCAGAGACGGAGAGAGATGCATCTGTTCAGGTTAGGCCTGTCTTGGTTCTGATGGGAGTCCGTAAGCTCCATCTGGCTGCTTTGAAAAGTTCTATTTTGGGGTCCCCCGATGGATTAATTAGAAACGGAGAATTTTGCGCCACGCCGAGCACTTGTCAAGGGCCCTGGGGACGCAATCAAGGAGAGCCACGCACAGCAAGCCCGCTCAGGCACGAGAGCTTTAATTATGGGAACGTGATCAGCCGTGAACACAATCGCGGTGCTTCCCAAGGACTAATCAGGGTTCTGAAGACAGCCCAACATCGCCAAGCCTTAATTTCCCAGTTGCCGCCAGAAGAGTTCAGGTTTCACAGCTTGCGAGGCCTCCCTGACATACAGGCGGTCCTGGACTTAACGGCCATAACTGAGCCCAAAATTTCTGCTTTTGCTAAGCGGGACAGCCGTGGAGAGAGGTTTGCTCCATTTTACGACCTTTTTTGCCAGAGTTGTTAAGTGAATCGCCGCCGTTGTTAAGTTAGTCGCGGGGCTGTTAAAGGGAATCTGGCTTCAGATGTTTGGCAATGGATTCGTATTTATTTATTTAGGGCGACCCAAGGCAGCATACGAGGACACAAAAACACAATATAATAGAAAGGAAGGAAGGAAGGAAGAAAAGGAAGGAGGGAAGAAAGGAAGAAAGAAAAAAAAAGAAAGAAGGAAGGAAAGAAGAAAAAGGAAGGAAGGAAGAAAAAGAAGGAAGGAAGGAAGGAAGGAAAGAAAGGGAAGGAGGGAAGAAATGAAGAAAGAAAAAAAGAAAGAAGGAAAGAAGAAAAAGAAGGAAGGAAGGAAGAAAAAGAAGGAAGGAAGGAAGAAAAGGAAGGAGGGAAGAAAGGAAGAAAAAAGAAAAGAAAGAAGGAAAGAAGAAAAAGAAGGAAGGAAGAAAGAAAAAGAAGGAAGGACGGAAGAAAGGAAGGAAGGAAGGAAGGAAAAGGAAGATAATAAAAACTTTGTGATGGTTGCAGTGTCCCGGGACCACGTGATCCCGTTTTTCGACCGTCTGATGAGCAGAGTCCAGGGGGAAGCCAGACTCACTTAACAACCTTGTTACCAATATAACACCTGCAGCGACTCACTTAACGACTGTGGCGAGGAAGGCGGTAAGGTGGGGCAAAACTCACTTAAGAAGTCTTCCGCTTAGCAAGTGGAAATTTGGGGCTCAAATTGGCATCGTAAGTCGAGGACTGCTGGCGTTTTAGAAGATCATCGCGGTTCTCTCCCAGGAGGGGCAGAATTAAGTGCGCCTCTGAGGAGTTGTGAGAAGAGGCAGAGAGAGAGAGAGAGAGAGAGAGATGCTTGAGGGGGGGGGGGGGGGGAATCAATCGGCCAGAGACGTGTCATGCTCCTTCCCTCTCTTAGCAACCTGCTCCAAGTTTCCACCTCCCTCGGATGGTTACCTGGGTCATTTTATCCACCGAGACCGGAATCCCGTCGATGGTGAGAGGGGGAAGCTCCGAGTTAACCTCCTGCGGCGCAGGTGCGTGCTCCAACAGCGCTGACTCCAAATCTTCCAGGATCATGCTCTTGTACTTGCGCACCTGTGGGGAATCGCAGAGGTTCAGGTAAACAAGAGCCAAGAGCGACAGGAGGGAAGAAACTGCTAAGTAACGGAAACGGGGTGGGGAGGGGCAGGAATGCGTCCGCGTTGCTCGTGGTGCCGCGCGGCAGAGCGAACGAGCGAGCAAACAACACCGCAGCTGCCCGGGAAAAACAGCCCTTGGCCCCCAAAGGATGGGAGGCGCGGGGCAGCGAGATGATGAAACGGCGAGCAACGTTAAGCCGTGGCAGGGGGGTGGTTGCCAGAGAGGTTTTGTAAGGGAGGGCAGGGACTTCGGTGGTGGTGCTTGGTGAGATTCTCAGCCAGGCTCTCAAGTCCCCTCTTGGGAGGTTGGGTCGAGGGGGCAGCGCTTTGGGGGTTGGGTACCGGCAGAAGAGAGGGTTCATAGCTCAGGGTTGAACGGAGGAAGGGTCCTGGGTGCTCAGTGAGATTGGAGGTTTGCTGGCAGATGTTTCAATTACCCAGCTAGGGAACATCATCCATGCTGGAAGGGAGTGAGTGGGGTTTGTGTAGGGGAAGAGGAAGAGGAGGAGGAAGGAGGGGGAGGGGTGCTTGGTGCTCTGAGTTTGGCGGTTTTCTTGCAGACATTTCATGACCCAACTAGGTAACATAATCAGTGTCAGAAGGGAGGGGAGGTTGCAGAGAGGAGGAGGAGGAGGATGGTGCTCTCTGGACTTGGTGATTTTCTTGCAGACGTTTCCTGACCCAACTAGGTAACATCATCAGTGACAGAAAGGAAGGAGGGTTGCGGAGTGAAGGAGGACAACTATAGGTTTCTTGGTGCTCCCTGAGCTTTGGTTGCCTTCTTGCAGACGTTTCGTGACCCAACTAGAGAACATGATCAGTGCTAGGTTTGCTCTCATTAATTTATATACGTTTGCCCTATCAGTGTTGGTGGGAGTGTTGTTGGGTGTTTCTTAATTAGGCTGTTGCTTACTGTTCGAATTGTCAGTTCCTTAACTGGAGTATATTCACTTCTCTTTTTTTGAATGGTGTGTAGATGTTGTTTATATCGATGTGCCTGTTGATGGCCGATTTGTTTGAATGCCAGGCTTCCAGGTATTCTCTAGGGTTTTGGGGCTTGGCGTGATCAAGGAACTGCCAAGAAGGAAACAACACTCCCATCAACACTGACAAGCAAGCCACTTGTGTGTAAACAGAGAGCAAACCCCACTCCCTTCTAGCTCTGATGGCGTTACCTATTTGGGTGGTGAAATGTCTGCGAAAGAACCAAGCTCAGGAAGCACCAAAGATCCCACAGTCCTCCTCCTCCTCTCCACAAACCCAACTCCCTTCTAGCACTGACGATGTTACCTAGATGGGTCATGAAACTTCTGGAAGCAAACCTCCAAGCTCAGACAGCAATAAGGACCCCAGAGTCGTCATCCTCCTCCTCCTCTTCCACTACACAACCCTCACTCTCCCTTTTAACACTGATGATGTTCTTTAGTAGGGTCATGAAACATCTGTGAGAAAACCTCCAAGGTCAGAGAGCACCCAGGACCCCTCAGTTCAACTCTTGAGCTACAAATATTCTCTTCTATCAGTACCCAATCCCCAAAGTGCTGCCCCTCAATTCAACCTCCCAAGAGGGACTTGAAAGTCTCAAGCGTCTGCCGGAGAACCTCACCGAGCACCCACCCCTGAGGACGTTACCCAGATGGGTCATGAAACGTCTGCAAGAAAACCACCAAGCTCAGAGAGCATAGTTGGGCCCCACACAGTTGTAGATATGTAGAGTGGATATCTGGGAGCTTTCTGCTTTCTCACCTTTTACCCTTTGAGTAAAAATAAAATAACTACCTGGTTTTCTGCGTTTAGTATTTGCGGAGGCAAATACTCCCATTCACCATCTTCTTCTGGCAATTTCCAAACTTCTCCATTCCCTCCACACACAAACACACTCCTGGCAACTCAAATCCACTTCCAACTAGGGAGGGGCGAGGAAGGCGCAGAGGAGTCTTACCACGTTCTCCAGCGGGGCCGCCCCAAAGACTTTGAAAACCGGGTTGGGTTTGGAGGGGGAGATGCACAAGACGATGGCTTGCTGCCCGACTCGCGTGGTGTATTCATCCAACGTGGCCCGTAGCTTCCTGGCTCAGAAGGATAAGAAAAAGAAGAGCGGTGGCTTTAAAAGATATTCCCCTTCAGGAAAGTCAGATCCTCAAGGCTTCTGGTTTTAAATTTTTCCACCACGTCAAGTTTGCAAATGGGATGAAGGCCCAACAAATGGTAAAATGGGGTAGGGAATTTTTTTGCATATTTATTTATTAAAATTCATAAGCCGCCCATTCCCGCTGTCAGGCGGCTCTTGGGGGCTTACAATATGATAAAAAAAAAAAAAAGTACTACACAAGACAATTAAAATGAGAAGGATTAAACAGGAAAGCTAAAAAGAAAAGCAAAAAGAGGTAAAAGCATGTACAAAACGTTAATGTGTTGAATGTGAAAATAAGTTGAGGTTAAATAAATTAAAAAGCAAAATACAGTGGGGCGGAGGTGGCATCTTCTGGTTAAGGGGATGGCCTAGAAACCAGGAGACGAGGAGTTCTAGTCCCACCTTAGGTACAAAAGCTGGCTATGTAACTTTGGGCCAATCACCAGGAGATGGTAAGTTCTAGTCCGCCCTGGGCATCAAAGCTGACTGGGTGACTTTGGGCCAATCATTAGGAGATTGTGAGTTCTAGTTCCGCCTTAGGTATGAAAGCTGATTGGGTGAATCTGGGCCAATCACCAGGAGACAGTGAGTTCTAGTCCTGCCTTAGGCATGAAAGCTGACTGGGTGACTTTGGGCCAATCACCAGGAGATGGTGAGTTCTAGTCCCGCCTTAGGCATGAAAGCTGATTGGGTGAATCTGGGCCAATCACCAGGAGTCAGTGAGTTCTAGTCCTGCCTTAGGCATGAAAGCTGGCTGGGTGACTTTGGGCCAATCACCAGGAGATGGTGAGTTCTAGTCCCGCCTTAGGCATGAAAGCTGACTGGGTGACTTTGGGCCAATCACCAGGAGTCAGTGAGTTCTAGTCCCGCCTTAGGCATGAAAGCTGGCTGGGTGACTTTGGGCCAATCACCAGGAGATGGTAAGTTCTAGTCCCACCTTAGGCATGGAAGCTGATTGGGTGACTCTGGGCCAATCACTAGGAGACGGTGAGTTCTAGTCCGGCCTTAGGCATGAATGCTGGCTGCGTAAAATTTTAGGCCACTCCCAGCAGACTGGAAGTTTTAGTCCCACCTTAGGCATGAAAGCCGACTGGGTGACATTGGGCCAATCCCCAGGAAATGGTGAATTCTAGTGCCGCCTTAGGTATGAAAGCTGACGGGGTGACTCTCGGCCAATCACTCTCTCTCAGCCTAAGCCACACCTCACAGGGTTGTTGTGGTGGGGAAAATAAGGGAAGGAAGGAATACTGGTATGCAGGTAGTCCTTGATTTACAACAGTTCATTTAGTGACCTTTCAAAGCTACATTACTGGAAAAAGTGACTTACGACCGTTTTTCACACTTAGAACCGTTGTAGCATCCCCATGGTAATTCGGATGCTTGACAACCGATTCACACGTATGACAGTTGCAGTGTCCAGGAGTCATGTAATTGCCTTGTGCGACCTTCTGACGAGCAAAGCCAATGGGGATAACCGGATTCATTTAACAACCATGTTAATTTCTTTAACAACTGCAGTGATTCACTTAACAACCGTGGCAAGAAAGGTCGTAAAACGGGGCAAAACTCACTTAACCCATGTCCCACTTAGCCACACTGATTTGGGGCTGAATTCTGTAAAGGAACTGGGAAAGGGAGGTTGGTAGGGGACAATCAAGAGATATTTTGAATTGTTAGCACTACAGCTTGTTGATTGTTATCAGGACAAAAAGCACTTCTGTGTACACAAACAAGGAAACCTCAGGTGCCAGCCGTGCCTCCGAGGAGCAGCTGGGTAGAGAGATGGTGAGAAGCAAAGGGGGAACAGTGCCAGCTGCTAAGTGCTAAGTACTAAGAGCCTTGGTAGTACAGTGGTCTAAAGCACCCTGTTATTAAGACCAGCTGCCTGCAATTACTGCAGGTTCGAATCTCGCCAGGCTCAAGGTTGACTCAGCCTTCCATCCTTTCTAAGGTAGGTAAATTGAGGACCCAGTTTGTGGGGGCAATAAGCTGACTTTGTATAAATATACAAAAGGATGAAGGCTATTGCTTAGCGCATTGTAAGCTGCCCTGAGTCTCCGGAGAAGGGCAGCATATAAATCAAATTAAAAAAAAAAGAAAAAGAAAAAGAAAAAGTGCCCAAAATGGGATCACGTGACTGCGGCGGAGGAGAGAAAATTGGGTTGTAAGTAGCTCTGGGGAGACCCGTCGTAACTTCGAATAATCGCTAAGCAGCCAGTCGTACGTAGGGAACTACTTGTGCTGTTCTGCCCAGGATGTTCCGAAACATCGCTGGAAGTTTTGAAGAAGGGATCGGACAGACATTTGTCTGGAATTGAGTTGGGCAAAGGGAGTCCAATCTTGGCCAATCTAAGACTTGTGGACTTCAACTCCCAGAATTCCCCAGCCAGCTATGCTTTAAGATGGGTGGATTCTGGGAGTTGAAGTCTCCATATCTTACAGCAGAGGTTTTCAAACTTGGCAGCTTTAAGACTTGTGGACTTCAATTCCCAGCATTTCCCCCAGCCAGCATGCTTTAAGATGGGTGGCCGAGGATGGACAAACCTGATATAGGGTCTCCTGCTGGAGCAGGGGGTTGGACTAGAAGACCTCCAAGGTCCCTTCCAACACTCTTATTCTATATTCTATTCTGTAATATCACCAAACCTTGGTTAAATGCAGTTTTCAAGGGTGGCTCTTTTTTAAAGGATCTAATTCAGTGTTTCTCAACCTTGGAAGCTTGAAGATGGGTGGACTTCAACTCCCAGAATCCCCAGCCAGCGCTGCTGGGAGTTGAAGTCCACCCATCTTCAAGCTTCCAAGGTTGAGAAACACTGATCTAACTTAAAGAAGCCAGCAGTGCCACTTGCTGACAGTTCTCCGTGGCATCTGCAGACCCCAAACATGGGATGACCTTTTGCGAAGGTTACACTGGGACCAGCAACTTGGTCGTTAAGAGAAGCGGTTGCTAAGTGAACCCACAACTGTGCCGATAATCTGAGCTGAGTTTTCACTTGCTTTACAGAGCTACGAAAGCTCGTAAATGTGCGTGCAGAACTGGTTGCAAAGTTACTTTTTCATCACTGCTGTGACGACGGTCGCTAAACGAGGCAGTCGCTAGACAAGGACTACCTGTAGAAGTATGAATTCAAGCGAAACATTGTGCCTTCCTCTCTCCGACATGCACATATAAGGTAGCTAGGATGGAGGAACTAAGAACAAATGGACAAGAAACTTTTTTTTTTAAGATGGGCTTTCAAATTTTGGCAACTCTGATAGCACAGAGTGATACGGAGGATCCCGGACTTACGCACTTTCTGCCATGCCCTCAAGACCGTTTTATTTCAACAGGCTAGCCTGGCCTAACCCCCTTTTTAATTGTTAATTTAAAATTTGTTTTAAAACAATAGGGGTGTTTTAAATTGTTTGGGCCAAATTATTTAATGTGCTTTTATATTGTTTTTAAATTTTGTATTATGTGTATTTTATCTTTTGGCTGTTCACCACCCTGAGTCCTTCGGAAGTAGGGCGGTATATAAATTCAAAATAAAGTAAAGTAAAGTAAAGTAAAAGCACATGAAGATAAATAGATGTATGGATAGATAGATAGATAGATAGATAGATAATAGAGGATAGATATAAATAATAGATATATAGATATAGATATAGATAAATAGATATAGATAAATAATAGATGTAGATAAATAAATAATATAGATAATATAGATAGATAAATAAATAGATGATAGATAAATAATAGGTAAATAGAGGTAAATAATACATACATGATATAGATAGATGATAGATAGATAAATGAGATGATAGATACCTTGTTTCCCCGAAAATAAGACCCAACCAGAAAATGATAGCATGATTTTTTAGGATGCTTGTAATCTAAGTCCTACCCCCCCAAATAAGCCCCCATTAAGATTGTCAGCCAGATGAATGCGTTTAATACCACATTTCTCCAAAAATAAGATCTAACCAGAAAATAAGCCATAATGTGTCTTTTAGAGCAAAAATTAATATAAGACCCTGTCTTATTTTTGGGAAAACGTGGTAGATAGATATAGATAAATAGATAGATGTTAGGTAGGTAGGTAGGTAGGTACCCCGTTTCCCCGAAAATAAGACCTCCCCTGATAATAAGCCTAATCAGGCTTTTGAGTGCATGCGCTAAAATAAGCCTCCCCTTGAAAATAAGCCCTCCCAGAAAATATTTAAACGCAGAGCTGGAAGTCAGGTAAGACGGCAAGAGGAGCCCCATCTCACTCCAAAATAATAAGACCTCCCCGAAAATAAGGCCAAGCGCTTATTTCGGAGTTCAAAAAAATATAAGACAGGGTCTTATTTTCGGGGAAACACGGTAGATTAGATAGACGATAAATAGACAGACAGACAGACAAATAAGAAAGATATATGAACGGATATATATATAGAAAGATAGTTAAATAGATGTACAGATATAGAAAGACAGAAGGGGGGAAGTTTATTTTCAAAGTTTAAAGATAAACAAAAAAGATTTGAAAAATGAAAAAGCTCAGGAAAGGAAAAAGTACAAGAAAGAAGGAAGAAAAACATAAACAGAAGCAACTTCCTTTGGTAAAGCTACGAACAACAAATACATCAGTCCCTTAACTCTAAACATTTATCTAAACTATTTCCATAGTCCAGCACACCAAAGCTCTCTCTGGCATCTTAGTCCACCCGAGGACTTGCAAGTGCCAACCTCCCGAGCCCACTTTGGGACGCGTCACTAAGGCGACCAACTCTGCCAAAGCACCAATGGGGCTACCCGGTCGATACCGAGCAAGATTGGGCCAGGGGTTGCAACAGCAGGGCGGGAGAAATAAAGCTGAATGTTGCATCAGAGAAACCCTTGAGAAAAGAGAAGCGGAAAAGTGCTCCCAACTAGCGTTTTAACTTGGTTCTTCTTGGGAAGGGCCCAAAGCGCATGTCAAGAAATGTACGTCCTGTCTCCTAGATCTGCGCATTGGCTCAGACGTTGCCATTCCCAATCAGAAGAAAGCTTGCGTTGGTAACCAGCCGGGAGGTAACGCTACCCTCAGGGCACACAAGGGGTAAAAATGTGTGTAGGTGCCCCCAAACAGTCATTCCCGCTTTGGCCAGCTCTCGTTTGGACTGCTGCAATGTGCCTTACATGGGGCCACCCTTGAAGACTACCTGGAAGCTTCACAGGGTTCCAGAATGAAGTTGGGAGGAAGTGGGGGCGTTGATAGGACCCCTAGGCCAGTGATGGCAAACCTTTTCAGCACTGAGTGCCCAAACTGGAACGTGCAACTCGAAGACCAGCCGGCCGGTGTGTGCATGCCTGTTTTTTGGCCAGTTTCAGGGCCGGTTTTCGGGCCAAAAACGGCCTGAAAACAGCCCGTAATATGGCCTGAAAAATAGCCTGTTTTTTGGCCGGTTTTCTGGTGCCACTGCACTTGCGAAGACCAGCTGGCGATGGTACGTGTGCCCACAGAGAGGGCTCTGCGTGCCACCTCTAGCACACGTGCCATAGGTTCGCCATCGTGGCTCTAGGCTCTCCCACGTCCCACCTTATTGCAAAACTGGACATGGGGATCAGTTTCCTTCTCCAAGTCAAGAGGTTGGTGGGTTGCCATCTCCAAAATCCCATGTGGTTTAGTCCGGATTACAACATAGATAGAAAGATAGAAAGATGGATGGATGGATGGATGGATGGAAGGAAGGAAGGAAGGAAGGAAGGAAGGAAGATCATAGATAGACAAATATACACATACAGTGAGATCGCATGATAGATAGAGATGGATGGATAGACAGTCAAATAGATATACTGAGGGGATGGATGGAGGAGGGAGCAGACAGCTAGTCGGTCAAATAGTTAAGATTGGGTGGATAGATGATAAATAGATTATAGATGATAGATAGATAGATAGATAGATAGATAGATAGATAGATAGATAGATAAATGGATGGATATACTGGGAGGATGACTGGAGAGAGAGAGAGAGGGAGAGAGAGAGAGAGACAGACAGACAGTAAGCCAGTCAAATAGCTAGATGATAGATGATAGACAGACAAATAGATGATAGACAGTCTGTCTGATAGATAGACTGGGTGAATGGATTGATAGATGATAGATAGATAGATAGATAGATAGATAGATAGATAGATAGATAGATAGATAGACAGACAGATAGACAGACAGACAGACAGGGACAGAAAAGGACAGATAGTTAGGGTTAGTGTTTAGGGTCTGCACTGGCTGGATAAGTGGATGGGTGGATAGATGATAGATAGATAGATAGATAGATAGATAGATAGGAGAGAGAGAGGGAGAGAGAGAGAGAGAGGGAGGGATGGAGGGAGGGAGGGAGGGAGGGAGGGAGGATGGATGGGCAGGTAGATAGATAAGACAGCATGAAAGCGAGGGAATCACATCCAGACTTCACCTCCCAATAAAGGAGCTATTGACCTCCATGCTATCGTTTCCTTACTCTGGTCTACCTTGTAGGGCTGGCATCTCGACTGGCTCACAGCCAGCTGCCCTGCTCCATACCATACAGCTCAACTCCCTTATTCCCTGGGCAAAGCTAGGTTAGAGGAAGCTCCATCGGAATCTGGCAGGAGAGGGGGGGTGTATCCCCCCACTGTTTAAGTCTAGCACTTGGTACCCAACCGGAAGGCCCCATGCTGCCTCCCCCCACCTGGGAATCCTGGGATTCGCTGGCCAGAGACAGGTGGGCTAAGAGCTCTTACCGTAACAACCGCGTCTGCTGCCTCTTGCGGATGGATGGGTTGGATTCAAAAACGTGAGGCCGCTTCCTTTTTTTACCGGTGGCCACAGCGGCGGCGGCAGCCATTCCCACCGGCCCTGGGGAGAAAAGAGAGATCTGAAAGACCCAAAAGAGAAAAGCCAGAGATGTTGGAGATCTTTTCTCAATTCAGATGTAGTGGGTGACGGCTCCCATTATCCCCAGTCGCAAAGCAGGGCAGATGGTTACTCAGAAAAGTGGTAAGCTGGCTGGAAATTATGGCAGCTGCCTTCCGAACAAAAGACAGGTAGCCCACGAATTACAACGGTTTGCTTAGTGACCGTTCAAAGTTACAGCACTGTAAAAAAGTGACTGATGATTGTTTTGCACACTTACAACCGTTGCAGCATCCCCACAGTCATGTGATCAAAATTCAGACGCTTGGCAACTGACTTGTATTTATGACGGTCGCAGTGTCCTGGGGTCACGTGATCCCCTTTTGCGACCGTCTGACGAGCAAAATCAATGGGGAAGCCAGATTCACTTAACAACCGTGTGACTGGCTTAATAAATGCAACGATTCACTTAATAACTGTGGCCAGAAATGTTGTAAAATAGGTCAAAATTCACTGAACAGCTGTCTCACTTAGCAACAGAAATTTTGGGCTCAATTGAGGTTGTAAAGTAAAGACAGGTTTTAAAGGAGTTTTGCCCTGTGTTAAGATCTTTCTGGCCACCGTTGTTAAGTGAATCACTGGGGTTGTTCAAATTAGTAACTCGGCTGCTAAGTGAATCTGGCTTCCCCATTGATTTTTGCTCGTCAAAAGGTCGCAAAAGGGGATCATGTGACCTTGGGACAGCAACGGTTGTAAGTACGAACCAGTTGCTAAGGATCTCAATTTTGATCACATGATTGTGGGGGACGATGCAACGGTCAGAAGTGTGAAAAACAGTCCTAAATCACCTTTTTCGGTGCCGTTATAATTTTGAACGGTCACTAAACAAGCTGCTGTAAGTCGAGGACTGCCAGTGTCGATGAATAAATGATCACCGCCCTGAGTCCTTCGGGAGTAGGGCGGTATAGAAATAAAATAAAATAAAATAAATAAATAAATAAAATAAATCACAGGCTTTTTTTAAAAATGGAAAATAAGGGCAACAGGCCACCTAACTGAAAAACTGAACAAAAACAGATCCGTTATTATCGTTCTTCTGCTGCCCTCTGCAGGCTATGCTTCATCGTTAAGGGTTCTGGTTTCAGCAAAGTATCCTGAAAAAACTCAAGACCAAAAAATAAAAATAAAAACGGGATTTTCCTTGCTCCTTTGTCAAAAGGAGAGCCTTCTCTGTGGCGGCACCTGTCCTCTGGAACGACCTGCCCCCAGAGATAGGCACGATACCAGACCTCCGGACTTTTCGTCGGGCCCTGAAAACACATCTTTTTCACCTAGCCGGGCTGGCTTGATCCCATCCCTTCGGTTTTAATTTGTAATTGGTTTTAACCCAGGTTGTTTTAAACGGATAGCCAAATTATTTAATGTTTTTAAATTGCTTTTAAATTTTATATGTTATGTTTTACTGTGGCTGTTCACCGCCCTGAGTCCTGTTGGAGAAGGGCGGTATACAAATTAAATTAAATTAAAATAAGTAAATAAATAAATAAAATGAATATAGAAAACTGAAAATTCCAGGAAGGCCATTTCCAGACAGTTTACCAGGTTAAATTCAAGCAGCAAAATATGGATTTTGAACAGCACAATATTTTTCTTACTGGGAGAATGGGAAGGAGAATGTCAGACCGATCACAATCACACAAACAAACAACCACCGAAGTGATAGGAAGCGAAGGCGGTCTCTCCTTCCTAGAATATCCCTTTGCAGGGAGTCCTCGATTTACAGCAGCGACCATTCGAAGTTAAAAGGGCACTGAAAAAAGTGACCTTTGGCCGTTTCCCACACTTACGACTGGGTCATGTGATCAGAATTCAAACACTCGCCAACTGACTCTTATTTATGACGTTCGCAGGGTCCCCTTTTGCGACCTTCTGACAAGCAGAGTCAGTGGGGAAACCGAATTCACTTAACAACCGTGTTATTAATTTAAGGAGTGCAGTGAGTCACTTAACAACTGTGGCGGGAAAAGTTGTCAAATGGGGCAAAATTCACTTGACAAATGTCTCACTTGACAGCAAAAAATTGGGGCTCAAGTGGGTCATAAGTCAAGGACTACCTCTAATAGATAGGTAGGTAGGTAGGTAGGTAGGTGGATGGATGGATGGATAGATAGGTAGATAGGTGTGTGGGTGGATAGATGGATGGATAAATGATAGATATAAAGAAACAAATACGGGAGAAAAAGAGGGAGAGATGGATGGATGGATGAGATAGATGGATAGATAGATAGATGGATGGATGGATAGAGGAATGGATGGATGGATGGATGGATGGATGGATGGATAGACAGATAGATAGATAGATGGATGGATGGATGGATGGATGGATGGAGGAATAAATAGATGGATGGATGTAGATATAGATGATAGATTGATAGAGATAGATAGCAATAGCAATAGCACTTATATATACTGCTTCATAGTGCTTTTACAGCCCTCTCTAAGCAGTCTACAGAGTCAGCATATAGCCCCCAACAATAAGAAAGAGAAGAGATAGATAATGAAAGAGAAGATAAATAATGATAGATAGATAGATAGATAGATAGATAGATAGATAGATAGATAGATAGATAGATAGAGGAATAAATAGATGGATGGATGTAGATAGAGATAGATGATAGATTGATAGAGATAGATATATACTGCTTCATAGTGCTTTTACAGCCCTCTCTAAGAGGTCTACAGAGTCAGCATATAGCCCCCAACAATAAGAGAGAGAAGATAGATAGATAATGAAAGAGAAGATAACTAATGATAGATAGATAGATAGATAGATAGATAGATAGATAGATAGATAGATAGATGGATGATATAGACAGATAGACAGTAGATAAAGATAGACGATTGAAAGATAGATAATGAAAGAGAAGATAGATAGGTAATGATAGATGATAGAGAGATAGACAGATGGTATCGGTAGATAGATAATAAAAGAGAAGATAGACAGACAGACAGACAGACAGACAGACAGACTGACAGATAAGAAAATTCAAAGGGCATCCTTGATAAATCACTAGGTCTTTTTCTGCTGTCAGTTTTCCGTGTTTTTAATTTTGAGGGTCTTTGCCAGACAACCGCCCAGGTCCTGGCTGAATAAAATGCCAAAAAGCAGGAAGCTTTAAAAAAACCCACCTCTTGAAGGCATGGTCAATTGATTTTTGGTCTCAACTACAAGCCAAGCCCAAGAGCATTGCCAAACCCTCTTGAAGGACGGGCCTGGGAAAGGAACCTACGTGCCTCCTCCACCTGCCCCCAGGTGTGTCTTCAAAAGAGGCAGCCTGAAGCCAGGGAAGCCAACCTACCTGCAGCGGCCAGGTGGGCAGTCACCTCGTCGGTGGCTGTGGAGTTGAGGATGTCCGAGTCGTCGTAGGACGTGTCCTCGGGCGAAGAGGGGGAATCCTCGTCGGCACTCAGCATGCTGTGCTCCGTGTACGTGGCCACGTGTACCTGCTGGACTTGCTGGGCCACCGCGTGGGCCTCGATGGTTGCCATGTGCTCCGTTTGGGTGACCGTATGTTCCTCCATGAATGGTTACTGCTGCAGGGAAGGAAGCAGAGAAGGAGAAGCCGTCAGGACCAACCTCACAGAGCTCTACAGGGGGTTCGCGGCTTACAGCTCGTTTAGTGACCGTTCAGAGTTACGACGGCATGGGATTTTACGACCTTTCTGGCCACACGTCGGAAGCGAATCCCTGTTAACGCAACCCTGGGGATGCTGCAACGCAGAGGTGGGCTTCAGCAGGTTCTGACCAGTTCTGGCGAACCGGCAGCGGAAATTTTGAGTAGTTCGGAGAACCGGTAGTAAAAATTCTGACTGGCCCCGCCCACATCGATTCTCTGCCTCCCGAGTCCCAGCTGATCGGGAGGAAATGGGGATTTTGCAGTATCCTTCCCCTGGAGTGGGGTGGGAATGGAGATTTTACAGTATCCTTCCCCTGCCACGCCCACCAAGCCACACCCACAGAACCGGTAGTAACAAAATTTGAAACCCACCACTGATCCTTCCCCCAGGAGTGGGGTGGGAATGGAGATTTTACAGTATCCTTCCCCTGCCACACCCACCAAGCCATGCCACGCCCACAGAACCGGTAGTAAAAAAATTTTTTAAACCCACCACTGCTGCAATGGTCGTCACTTTTTTCAGAGCCGTTGTAACTTTGAACGGTCACTAAACGGACTGTTGTAAGTCGAGGACTATCCGTATTATAGCTTACCTATCCTTTGGGTTGTTAAGTTTGCTTCCGGGTGCAGTTCAAGGTGTTGGTTGCTAACTATAAAGCCCTTCACAGCATAGGGCCTGTGGGGGCGGGGCGGGGCGTGTCTGTCTTTGACAACACCTGTCCAGGTAATCTGATCTTGAAGGTTTGGCCCAGGAGGTTCCTTTGATTAAACCGTGTTATTTACTAGGATGCTGGAAGCCGCTTCCCTCTCCCAGGGTCTGCCATCTGGACAGTTTTGATTTATTACCGCCCCAAATTGAGTAGCATGTAAACTTAAGAAATAATAATAATACAGGTAGTCCTTGACTTATGGTTGCAATCATCATCATCATCATCACCATCTTTTAACGACCCCATAGTCCCTTGCATCGGGGTGGAGTCTGAATGGATCTGAGTGTTTACTGGCCGGATGCCCTTCCTGTCACCAATGCGGAGTTTTGTTCGGCAGATCTATTCTCATTGTGCCCAGAAAGAGAGATATCTGCCTCTACCTAGGATTGAACTCACAGACTCCTGATTTGTGAGGCGAGAGCTCCACCCCTAGGCCACCACACCACTCCTTACTTATGGCCACAATGAAACCCACCATTTCCATTGCTAAAGTAAGACAATTAACCAGTGGAACTGCCTGCCTCAAGACGTTTTGGGTGCTTCATCACTGGAGGTTTTTAAGAAGAGACTGGACAGCCACTTGTCTGAAATGGTGTAGGGTCTCCTGCTTGAGCAGGGGGTTGGACTAGAAGACCTCCAAGGTCCCTTCCAACTCTATTCTGATTCTGACAGTTGTGAGGTTTGCCCCATTTTATGACCTTTCTTTTGCTGTTAAGCGAATCACTGCAGTTGTTAAGTTTGTCCTACGGTTATTAAGTGAATCTGGCTTCCCTGTTGATTTTGCTTGTCAGGAGGTCGCAAAAGGGGATTGTGGGACACCACGACCCGTCGTAAATATGAGTCGGTTGACAAGCGTCTGAATTTTGATCGCATGGCCGCAGGGATGCTGCAACGGTCGTAAGCGTGAACACTTTTTTTGTTCGTGCTGTTAAAACTTTGGCCAGGAAGCGAATCGTTCCAAGTCAAGGACTACCTATATATGAAAATTGACTATCTTAGCCATCAAACAGGTAGTCCTCAACTTACAACCACAACGGAGCCCAAAATTTCTGTCGCTCGAGTGAGATATTTGTGAAGTGAATTTTTTTCCCCGTTTTACCACCTCTCATGCCACAGTTGTTAAGCGAATCACTGCAGCTGTTAAATTAGTCACGTGGTTGTTAAGTGAATCTGAATTCCCTGTTGAGTTTCCTTGTCAGGTCGCAAAAGGGGATCAAATGACCAAGCGATTCTGCAACCGTCATACTGTGTTTCCCCGAAAATAAGACCCTGTCTTATATTTTTTTTAACCCTGAAATAAGCGCTTGGCCTTATTTTCGGGGAGGTTTTATTATTTTGGGGCGCGTGGAACGAGACGGGGCTCCTCTTGCCGTCTTACCCGATTTCCAGCTCGTCTCCCTAACCCTAACCAGAGGAAATGGCGGAGACCGTCTGCGCACGTGGTTAAATATTTTTGGGGAGGTCTTATTTTGGGGGAAACACGGTAAATGTGAGTCATTTGTCAAGCATCCGGATGTAACGTGGCTAAATAGGATGGCATAGTGCCGGCCACTACCGGTTTTCCCGAACTGGCTGAATACCATCACTGGTCCGAAGTGTGAAAAATGGTCCTGCCACTTTTGTTTGGTGCCGTTGTAACTCTGAATGTTCACTGAGTGAACTGTTTGTAAATCGAGGACTACCTGTAGGTGGGAACGAAAGCCGGGCCTTTCGTTTACGGCGGGGAGGGGGAATTCAAATCCTGCTCCTTGGACTTTGCAACAGCTTCTCCCAACTTGGTGCTGCAGAGAGAGATATCTTGGAAGGGCTTATCAGCTCCGAGCAAGCCGGTTTTGCCCAAGGCCAGATGGGAGTTTTGCACACACACAAAAAAAAAGATAACAATTCAAATTTAAAAGATTAAGCAAGGCATGTTTTTCACTGCCCTGGGACCCATCGCAAGCCACAACATTTGCACTGCCTTAAAAAAAAAAAAAAAGTAGTCCTTGACTTACAACAGTTCATTTAGTGACCGTTCAGAGTTATGACGGTTCCGGAAAAAGTGACTTATGACCGTTTTTCAGAGTTGCAGCATCCCGACGGTCACGTGAATTCTGCTTCGAGCTTCTCGGAAGGAAAGGTGCAATAAAAACTGAAATAACAGTTAAATATTGATTGGGTTTTAATGTGCGTGGCTAACCACAATATAAGGAACAGTTCCTGCTATACAGGCATTCCTCAACTTACAACGGTTTGTTTAGTGACCGTTCGAAGTTACAGCGGCTCTGTTTATTATTTTATTTCTTAGATTTTTATCCTGCCTTTATTGCTCTATAGGTAACTCAAGGCAACGTACATACCTAATGCAGGGAGTCCTCAACTTACAACAGTTCAACTTAGTGACCGAAGTTATAACGGCACTGCAAAAAGTGACCTACGACCGTTTTTCACCCTTATGACCGTTGCAACATCCCCATGGTCACGGGATCAAAACTCAGATGCTTGGCAACAGGTTCGTATTTATGACGGTCGCAGTGTCTCGGGGTCACATGATCCCATTTTGCGACCTTCTGACGAGCAAGGCCAACGGGGGAAGCCAGATTCACTTCACAACCGTGTTCCTCACTTAACAACTGCCATGATTCGCTTAACAAATGTGGCAGGAAAAGTCATAAAACGGGGCAAAACTCACTTAACAAATGTGTCACTTAGCAACATAAATTTTGGCCTCATGTGTGGTCGTAACTCGAGGATTACCTGTACATGAATACCGAACACTATTTTCTGGATTTGAAATGTGATTATAGGTAGCCCTCGGCTTACGACCAAAGTCAAGCCCAAAATTTATGTTGCTAAGCAAGACAAGTAATTTTTGCCCCCATTTTACGACCTTTCCTTCCACAGCTGTTAAGTGAATTGACTGCAGTTATTAAATGAATTGTGGTTGTTCGGTGAATCTGGCTCCTCCTTTGACTTTGCTTGTCAGAAGGTCGCAAAAGCTGATTTTGCTTTTCAGAAGGTCGCAAAAGGGGATCACATGACCCCGGGGACACTGCAACCGTCGTTAAGTGTGAGTCAGCTGCCAAGCGTCTGAATTTTGAACATGTGGGCACGGGGATGCTGCAAGGGTTGTAACTCTTTTCAGTGCCATCATAATTTCAAGCAGTCACTAAACGAATGTCTGTTAAGAGAGGACTAGCGGTATTATTATTCTAAAATCAGCCACTTGGGTGAGGAATGCTCATTTTAACTAATTAAGGAGAGAAGCAACCTAGAACTTCCTAACAGTGAGAACAATTAACCAGTGGAACTACTTGCCTCTAGAAGTTGTAAATGCTCCAACACTGGAAGTTTTTAAGAAGAGATTGGACCACCATTTGTCTGAAATGGGGTAGCTTTTCCTGCCTGAGCAGGGGGTTGGACTAGAAGACCTCTGAGGTCCCTTCCAACTCTGTTATTCTGCTATTCTTTTTCCTTCCTTCCTTCCTTCCTCACTGGAGGTTTTTAAGAAGAGATTGGACAACCATTGGTCTGAAATGGTTCAGGGTTTCCTGCCTGAGCAGGGGGTTGGACTAGAAGATCTCCGAGGCCCCTTCCAACTCTTGTTATTCTAATTCCAATATTGCCTTCCGAGTACCAGCTGCAGAGGTCACCAAATTCTTGTTCCAACATTTTGAAAGCAAAAACTCTGCACAGGCTCTTCAGAAACTCTCCGATCACCCTGTGGTCAACCACTAGCAGGAGAAATGTGAGTTGGTTATTTCCACTCTTTAAGTAAACTTTCTACCCGTGAAAATCTATGAAAGCCAAGATACTCTCAATCTTACACGGGAAAAGACCCAAATACACCAAAACTTGCATATCTCATTTTCTATATATAACTATAGTTCATCATAGGCTGCTGCCTCCGTGATTAATTCATTTTTGCAAAAAAGGGTCTGATACCGGCTTAAGCATCCAATCCTCCGTTCTTGCCTCTAAAAGCCGTTTAGATCCTTCTCTTCATCCCTGCCAACAATCCTAAACTCGGTTTAGCAAGAGAGAATTCAAAATGAGGGAGTACAGGTAGTTCCCGACTTGCAACAGGTCGTTTAATGACCGTTCGAAGAAACGACGTCACGCTACTGAAAAAATGTGAGTTAGGACTGCTTTTCACACAGACTGTTGCAGCATCCCCGTCAAAATCCAGACACTTGGCAAGTTAGTCACATTTTTGTTAAGCTGTTGTAAGTCAAGGACTACCTGTATGGTATTTTGTGACGGGATCGGAGAATTGTTTACAACTGGAGTATGAGTCTGAGAACTCAAAATAAAAGAATTTTAACTTTGCATCGCTATGGAGAGAAACTTTTACCCTCCGAATCGTATGCAAATTTAGCAGAGATCGTTCTTTGTATATTTTGAGTGGTGCGGTGGCCTAGAGGTGGAGCTCTGGCCTCACAATTGGGAGGCTGCGAGTTCGATCCTAGGTAGAGGCAGACATTTCTCTCTCTGGGCACGATGAGAATATCTCTGCTGAACAAAACTCCGCATTGGTGACAGGAAGGGCATCCGGCCAGTAAAATACTCAGCTCCATTTAGTTGCCCAGATAAGGGTTTATGGGGTCGTTAAAAGAGGACAATTCTTTCTATATTTGCCTAAATAAGGGGGTCACCAGTCTCTGTCTTCTGGTTGAGCAGATGGCCGATGTTTATACCGTCCTGCTGGACAAAATGGACATTTTTTTTAAATCAAAGCCTTATACATGTGGTGTGCACCCGATTTGCCTCCTGTCCCAATATAATCCCAGAAAAACCAGCAATTCAAGAGGCCGGCTGCAATCCTTGCATTTGGAGAACAGCTGCAGCCTCATTCTTCTAAGCCTATTACGATAAATGGGCTTTTTTTCTCCCCTTCTCAGATCCACTGGAGAGGTCCCCAAAAAATGAGAAATCTCTCACGGATACCTCCTTTTCTCAAACATTCAAGGCTATCGGTCGCGGTATGCGGGCTGAAGGCTGGCTGGGGTGGATTATTATAAAGTGGGATCACCCCACTTTAGTCTCTAGTCTCCTGTACGGAGAGTCACAAGGAATTTGGGTTTTTTTTTAAATTTTGCTCAAGAGCTTCCGAGTTGTATTTTATATTACTTGATAACTCAATAAACATGTTAATGCAAAAAAAGAAAAAAGAAAAAAGAAAAGAGTGACTGAGTTTCCGGGGCCAAAAAATAAAGACCTTGAATTTTTTTTTTTCCTACCAAATTTTACAGGCTGGGATCCTCTGGGACCCGTCTGCTGGAGGAGGCAGTCCTATCTCGGAGGATGATCTGCACACTTCCTGGCTCAGTCATGAGATCTGGGAGTCAAGGCAAGGGGAGAGAAAATAAATAAATAAATATGATTCACGATGCCAAATCCCTCTGGCGAGAGAGAGGCTAAGACAAAGATGGCAAGGCCAGTTCTAAAGGCATCACAAGGGGATATCGGGGCTGGTCGGACCTTCCCCTATGAACTGAGCCAAGAGGCGGGTGCAATCGATGGGGGTATTGGGGGGAAGGGGCTAAGGAGAATTAAGTTTCCTAATAAAGTGCACTAAAAGCACTGATTTGTGGAGAATAGAATATGGGTGGCTCAGGATAGAAGTGTGAGGTCCTTGGAGCTCCCTTGAGCCTGATGGTTTTCTTGCAGATGTTTCACGACCCAACTAGGTAGCGTCATCAGTGTTGAAAGGAGTGAGGTTTAGAGAGCGGGGTTTGTGGAGGAGAGGAGAAGGGAGAGGGAAGGGGAAGGAGGAGAGGGGAGTAGGAGGCACTGTGGGGTCCTTGGAGCTCTTTGAGCTTGGTAGTTTTCTTGCCGACGTTTCATGACCCAACTAGGAAACATCATCAGTGCTACAGGGAGTGGGGATTAAGGAGTGGAGTTTGTGGAAGGGAGAAGGAAGAGGTGAGGAAGAGGAGAACTTCCTCTTGCTTAACACATTGTAGGCCGCCCTGAGTCTCCGGAGAAGGGCGGCATATAAATCGAACCAATAAATAAATAAATAAATAAATAACGGTGTGGTCTTTGGTGCTTTCTGAACTTTGTGGGTTTTTTGCAGATGTTTCATGACCTAACTAGGGAACATTATCAGTGCTAGAAGGAGTGGGATTTGTGGAGGAGAGGAGGATGGCGACAATGACTGTGGGGTCCTTGGTGCTCCCTGTGCTGGATTATTTTCTTGCCGACGTTTCATGACCCAACTAAGTAACATCATCAGTTGTAAAAAAAAAAGGAGTGGAGTTTATTTCATATATAAGCTCCTTCTAGCGCTGATGATGTTACCTGGATGGGTCATGAAACGTCTGAAAGCAAACAACCCAGCTCAGGGTTGCACTAAGGACTTCACAATTTGGGAAGAGCATCCGATAACCACCCTTGCAGGCCCCCCACCAAAAAAAAAAAACCCGGGTGCCTAAAAGGACAGAAGCAAACAATGGCGCCAGCCTGGTTAATTTTGTAACCAGCTAGCAAGAAGACTAAAACAGAATCTCTCCAGGATGAAGAAATAAATGGATACCCCCTTGATATCGGATAAATGGTATACTAATCTGCCCTCCCGCTGTTCCCTTCCCGGGAACAAAGTCTTCCAGATCCTCTTTCACAGCTTATGAAATGTCAAGGAAAGAAAGCTGGAGAACAAATTTTGAGTCCCAGGAATAAAATGGTTTTTAAAAAATAAAATTAAAAAAAATCCATCACCTGCTTTTTAAAAGAACGATACACTCCGGTATATTCCCCCACATAATAATGTCTCCCTAACAGCAATCTTCAGCCAGACAAGGGGTGAAAAAGACTCCCGTGGCCCCTGAATTTTTAATCGAAGGGTCCCTTCCACAAGACAAATAAAAAACAAAATAAAACGCGGAACCGGCCTTTCCATGGAATTTAACCTCCTTTTTTTTTCGATCGAGAAAGTGGGGTCAAAGAAAAAACCGCTTGGTACACACTCTAAATCCTATTTAGATTCCTTTTCTGCATCACAGGCCTCCCAGAAAGACCAATAAAATCAAAATAAATACAGATCCACTCTTAGGTGGAATTTTAACTTTTTTCCCCACTCAAAAAGTGGGTTTCCCCCCCCGAAAGATCGGTCCATATAGACATCCAAGAGATTCCAGAGATCAGTTTGGAAAACCAGTTCCCTAAAACCAGTCCAGCAGCACCTTTTCCCATCCACTGTCTACAGGTAATCCTTGATTTACAACCATTGGTTTAACGACTTAAGTTACGACGGCCCTGGAAAAAAAAAAAGTGCCTTATGATCTTTTTTCCCACACTTATGACCACTGCAGCATCCCCAGGGTCATATGATCAAAATTCGGATACTTGGCCACTGATTCATATTTATGACGGTTGCAGGGTCCCTGGGTCATTGTCTGCAACTTTCTGACAAGCAAAGCCAATGGGGGGAAGCTGGACAACTGGGTTATTAATTTGTCAACTGTGGTGATTCGTTTAATAAACGTGGTTAGGAAGGTCGTAAAACGGGGCAAAACTCACTTAACGGCTGTCTCACTTAGCAGTGGAAAATTTTTGGCCTCAATTGTGATGGAAGTCAAGGACTACCTGCCCTGAAAGGCGTAAAAGAGCTTTTGTGGGCTATGAATAGAAATAAAAACAAAAATAGAATAGAATTAATAAAAAATAATAAATAGCTCAGAATGAGCTCTGGTGGCTCAGCAGACTAAAGCACTGTTATTAACATCCACTTACATCTGCTGCCTGCAATTACTGCAAGTTCAAATGTCACCAGGCTCAGGGTTGACTCAGCCTTCCATCCTTTCAAAGGAAGGTGAAATGAGGACCCAGTTTGTGGGGGCAATAAGCTGACTTTGTATAAATATACAAAAGGATGAAGGCTATTGCTTAACGCCTTGTAAGCCGCCCTGAGTCTCCGGAGAAGGGCGGCATATAAATCAAGTTAAAAAAAAAGAAAAAAGAAAAAAATAGGATTAAGAATAGAAAAGAACAGAATAGATTATTAGAACACAATATTAGAATAGAATAAAAAATAGAAAATAAAAATAGAATAAAATAAAGAAAAGAATAAAATAGAATTAAGAATAGAACAGAACAGACTATATTATTAGAACAGAATATCAGAATAAAGAATAGAATAAAATAGAATGAATAAAGAAAATAATAAGTAGAGTAAAAAAGAATTAAGAATAGAACAGAATAGATCATTAGAACAGGATATTAGAATAGAAGAATAGAATATAATAAATAGAATTAAATAGAATTAAAAATAGAACAGATTATTAGAACAGGATATTAGAATAGAATAGAAAATAATAAACAGAATAAAATAGAAGAATAGACCAGAATAGAATATTAGAACAGAATAAAGAATAGAATTTAGAAAATAAAAAATAGGATAGAAGTCCGAAGGGACCTTGGAGGTCTTCTAGTCCAACCCCCTGCTAAAGCAGGAAACCCCTAAGGCCTGGCCAAAGACCATTCCAGATTGTAGTTCTCTTGATCAGACACTGACAGACAGCCCAATATAGGCCAGTCATGGCCTGCTGGGAAAAGGGGGGGGGGCAGGGGACCCCGGTTTCGGCCGCCCCCCCCCCTTATTTCCATTGAAAACCATCAACTTTGGCTCAAGGCAGCTGTGCAAATTCCCTCCAACGGCGCCAGCTTTCGGCAGCCAGAGCTCTCCTGGCCAGAGGAAGCCCCCCCTCCCCTCACTCCTTCCAGGCATGGGACGAGGAGACTTGTGACTCCCGGAAGCCGGCGCCATTGGGGAGAAATGGGGCGGGGGGGGCGAATTATTTGTGCAAGTCATGTGGGGCGGCTCGAATCGGCGTCCCCGGGCCGAGGAAACGAGGCTTCCGGCCGTCTCCCGGCGCGGGTAACTCGGGCGAGGCTCCTCCGCGCCTAGGCCGGGCCGCGGGCCTCGGATGATGGGCGATGGAGTTCAGGCCTGAGGCCTAGCTGGGCCTGGCCGGGCGGGCGAAGCGGGAGGGCGGGGTGGGGGGTGGGGGGGGTTGCGCGCGCGGCGGCCGAGGCGGGGGCGGGCGAGGCGGCGCGGGGGCCCCCGCCTTGCTGCGGCTGCGCCGGGTCTGGCGCGCGGCGAGTGAGGAGCTGCTGGGAGATTGCGCGGTAGGACACTCACCTCAGAGCGGCTGCGCTGCAGCGGGCCTGCGCCGTGGAGCCGCCAGCCAGTCAGCCCCAGTCAGTCAGTCAGTCAGCCAGCCAGCCGGGCAGGAAGATGAGGCAGCGGGGGCGGAGGAGGAGGAGGAGGAGGAGGAAGACGGGCGGCGGCGACGATGACGGCCGCGCGAAGGAGTGAGCGGGCGGCACGGCGGGCGGGCGGGAGGAGGAGGAGGCAGCGCGGGCGCGCGCCCGCTGGCCGGCTCGCTCGAGACTGAGGGTCGGCCGCGCGCGCGAAGCCGGGCCTGCCTCGTCGCGTCGCTGAGGAGAAAAAAAAACACACACACACACACACGTATCAAACACCCCCAGCGCTACTCGAGGCGAGGCTCGGGCCTAACCGCGGGCGGGGAAAGGAGTCCTGCGGTGGCGGGAGCGGCAGCAGGCCAGAGGGGAGGGGAAGGGAGAGGGGAGGGGGGGGGGGGGGGGAACGTAGGGCGTGAGCGGAGGCCCAGCGCCGCCATGATGGGAAGGTCATGATGGGGATAGAAGGAGGGAGGGAGGGAAGGCACCGTGCTCGACCGGTCGGGGCCCGGTGAGGGAGGAGGAGGCGGTGGCCGCGGGGTGATTGAGGGAGGGGAAGCGGAGGAGGTGGTTTTTTTTTTTTTTGCGGGGGGAGGGATCCGTGGAGCGGCCTCGTAAGGCAAGCAATGGTGGGCGGCCATCTTGGGGAGGTTAGAGGCGGGCTTCCTGTGGCGGCGGCGGCCATCTTGGGAGGGTCAATGGCGGGCTGGGCTTTCCTGTGGTGGCGGCGGCGGCCATCTTGGGAGGGTCGGCTGCCGGAAGCGCCGCCATGTTGGGGAGGTCTTGGGGGCGGGAAGCGCCGTTCCTTCCCGGGCCGCCATATGCGGGAGGTCCGCTCCGGCCTTGACGTTGGGAGGGAGAAGGCGGGAGGGGAGAGGGGGAAAGAGCCCCCCCTTCCTGGGGTAGGCAAACTTGGCTCTTTTACACCTTGTGGACTTCAACTCCCAGAATTCCTGAGTCAGACAAGCTGTCTTAGGAATTCTGGGAGTTGAAGTCCACAGGGTGTAAAAGAGCCAAGTTTGCCTACCCTACAAGACCCATCATCCTGAGCCACCCTGGAGCCGAGTCTGCATAAGTTCTTAGGGAAGGAAGGTTTAGTGCTGCCCCCTGCAGACCCAGACGAGTGTCTTATGCAGTATAGGTAGTCCTCGACTTACAGCAGTTCGCTTAGTGACCGAAGTTACAACGGTGCCCGAAAAAAGTGACTTGCCACCATTTTTCACACTTACCACCGTTGCAGCATCCCCGTGATTTACAATCGGATGCTTGACTGGTTGACATTTATGACGGTTGCGGTGCCCTGGAGTCGTCTTTTACGACCTTCCGACAAGTAGTGTTAATGGGAAACCAGATTCACTTAACAACCAGCTGATTAATTTAACAACTGCAGTGAAATGTGGGCAAGACTCACTTAGCGACATACATTCTGGGCTCGATTGTGGCTGCAAGTCGAGGACTGCGCCTATGTGGAAGCTGCTGGGTTCACACAAGGCGCTCATCCAGCAAAGCCAACCCAGGTTGGCATGTTGTGTGAATGCAGCAGTCCCGACCCACCTGGAGTTCAGTCGGTGCCCAGAATCAGCCAGTGCAGCAGCTCAAAACTTCCTCAGTTGCTGGTCTTTGTAGAGGACCATTTGATGTATTAATAAATACCTATTGATGCATTTATTCTTATTGTGTTCCTTTGTCATTGATTATTATTCTATTATTTTACTTCTCTTCACATGTTTTTCCATCTTTCTTCATTTTTGTTATGATAAACCACCTAGAGTAACCCCACAGTGAGATGAGGCAGCAAATATATTTAATAAACACAATAATAAATAAACAAGCCTACCCAAAGCTCTTGACCATCTTCTGTAGACTCTCAACTCCTTAAAACATTTTAATGGTCTTTGAAATTACCTGGTTTGGGTCATGGGAAAGATGCTTTTATTTTGCCACTGAGGCTTTTCATCTCACCAAAACAGGCGAAGTTTCATGCTAAACATTTCAGTAAATCTGACCGAGTATTTTCACCCTGAAAAATGATCTTCCTGGAATGGCTGCTCTCTCAAGGCCTGTGGTTCCCACCATCCACAGCCAAAATCCCAATTGGAATTTGTGAAAACAGAACTTGGGAATCGCTATGCGTGTCACAGCTTGCTTTACAGAAATGTTGAGGCAGGCAGCATGGCCAGCAAACCTCAGCAATCCTAATTCCTAGAGATGCCTGAACAGCAGATTAAGCAGCCCAACCAAAACGCCTGCCTGTTGGTCTATCTTGGCAGCAGCCAAGCCAAGCTAATAATTGGCTGGGGGGAGGGGACCATTATTAGTGGCTTCCTCAAAGTACAGGTAGTCCTCGACTTGCAACAGTTTGTTCAGCGGCCGAAGTTACAACAGCACTGAAAAAAAAAAAAAAAAGACTTTTTCACACTTAATGACCATTGCAGTATCCCCGTGCTTGTGTGATCAAAATTCAGACGCTTGGCAACTGATTCATATTTATGACGGTCACAGTGTCCCAGAGTCGATGTGATGTCCTTTTGCAATCTTCTGACAAGCAAAATCAATGGGGAAGCCGGATTCACTTAACCATGTTATTAATTTTAAAAAGTGCAGTGATTCACTTAACAACTGTGGCAAGAAAGGTGGTAAAACGGGGCAAAACTTGCTTCACCGTCTCGCTTAGCAAAAAAAAGTTTGGGCTCAATTGCAGTTATAAATCGAGGACTACCTGTATGTATGTATGCAATTTTTTCTTGCTTACTAAAATAAGCCAATATCACTTTCTAACAGGCTGTGCTTAAAAACAGGTCTTGGCAAAGAGATTCCTTTTTTCTTTAAAATTAAGCCAATCGGGTTGTCAGAAATACAGCTGCTAATCGTTGGCTTTCTATCTTGAAGCATCAAACGATCTAATAAAATGTTACAATACACTTCAACGTTGTGTTACTATGCTTCTCTCGTGTATTAATCAGTGCCCAGGTTTATGGTTACTAGGATACATTAGTGCCAGGGCAAACCTTGACCTGAAAGGACTTCTGTTGCCAGTCCACCCTTGCCTCCATTAGCTGGACATGGAAGACGCTGCAGTGGTCTGCCCCAAAAGTCTTGAAAAGTATTCAAACTCCTGTATTAACGAATCAACACTGGCTGAAGTTTTATTACCTCCAAACACTTTTTACATGTAAAAAAAATACAGTGAGGAAATTAAGTTAACAATAATACCTTAAATGTTTTGCTATCAACTTTTGCATTTTATACTTCTTAAAAGTTAGCCTGTTCCCAGTTTGGGAATAGCACCACACCCTTATAGGAGAAATTTCAAAGCAAAAACACTCTGCACTGGGGCCACTGCAGAGTAAACAACCTGCAACTTGCGGCCTTTAACAATAAAAACCAACTATTTTTTGTCTACTCAAGAGAAACCCCAGACGTCTGGTTCTGGGGTTCAGAGCAGGCAGGGAGCGCCTCGAAGCAACAAGAAAGCAACAAACACGTCAACACCAGAAGCCTCTTGTATCTCTTAATCCAAAACAGCGAATTGGGGAAGGGGTTCTGTTACTTGTGGCTACCCTGATAACATCTGCAAAGAAGGCCCTGCCAAATCAAGTTTCTTCAGAGCGTGGGAAAGCTTGTCTGTTTTCCATTTTACCTGCTGACTTTGGAATAAAAAAGAAGAAACTGCTAGAGTAGCTAGGGTGGTTGTAATGATGCCACTCAGCTCTAAATTCAGTCTCCCTGGGGAAGTTTGCAGAGATACCCAACACTTTAGGACGGGAGTCTCCAATCATGGCAACTTTAAGACTTGTGGACTTCAACTTCCTTCAGCAAAGCTGGTTGAAGAATTCTGGAAGATGGAAGTCCACAAGTCTTAAAGTTGCCAAGGTTGGAGACCCCTGTTTTAGGATATTAACTTGACCTTGTTAGACCACTGGGCTAATCTTGCCTATCCATCTCCAAGCCATCTTTTTTTTTTGTCCCAATCTGCTAGCTTCCACTTTCTTCTCCAGGGTCTTTTGTGGGCCATCTTCTTAAAACTTTTCCCCCCCTCCAGCCTCACTTGCTCCAAAACGCTAGCAAAAACTGGCACTGATCAAACAGACAAATGTCTAATGGTTTTTCATATTAACCTTTGGGGATTCTGTATGCTGATATTTATCTTTTTACTGGAAGCTATTACGATACAGAGGCCCTGAACGTTAATACGAAAATGAGTCATTTTCTTTAAAAACTTTTTTTGTAAAAACCTGTGGATAACCCACAACACAACAAAACAGCCTGTTTGGCTTTTGAATGAAGACAGAAAAACCAGAAATAAGCAGGGAAGGGGGCGCAGTAGTGATAACATGGGCACAAACCAGCAGATGTTGGCTTGCACTATCTCACTCTGTTGTGCGCAGAAGGACTGCTATACAAGTATTACGACACGGCCTTAAAACCGATCCAGGGAAGAAGTACAGGCCTCCCGATGTGCAAATCGAATGGCCAAATTTGCAGGCGATGCACCCGTGCCAAAAATGGAGGAGTGTGAGCAAGGCAGGGGCCTTAAAAGTTAAATTGGGCACCGCAACCATCGCCCTTGGATGCCTCAGCAGTCGCGCTGATATTGTGACACCCCACACCCTTTGTGGTTCCCCAGGGGCCTGTCTCTGAATTGGCCAAGGCTCTTGTCTTTGATCACCAATCGATATGGGGAATGATGCTTTACGCATCAGCTGGACGTTGCAAGAGTGGCGAGGCCCCACTTTGGCAAGCTTTGAGGGGCCTTTGCAAGGACTAAGAAAGATCTTTAAACCTTCTGGACTGGACAATTCCCCACATTACGCCCCTGAAGCGCAAAAACACATCTAGCCACGCTTTGCCCGAGATCAGTTATCAAAGGTTAGTCTGCAGATGGGATGTCACATTTTAGGTCTCCAAATGACAAGACGACGGTAATCAAAGCATCCTGAACCAACCTACCTACCTCCCATCCTGGTTTTGCAAGGCAAAATGAAGTTTTCCCATGTATCTTTCAAATCTCATCTTTGGGCAAGGGGGACCCTATTTGGAGCTAGACGGGGGTGCAGTGGGTGCTTCCGCTGATGGGAGTTGCGCACACAACATTATTTCTTTATTCTGTCACAGTAATAAGTGAAGGCCAGACCTTCAGCGTGGCTGCCAAGCAACAGCCTAGCAAGGGGTGGGGTGGGGGGAATGTGACTTCCACTCAAGCCAAGATCTAGCCAGGACCAGTTCCAAAGGACAGAGATCTCTGCTGCAGAATCCTCTTTTGACAATTCCGCAGAGGATTCAGGAACATTCTCTGGGAATTTGGTCTGGTTCAGGGTTACAACGGAGCACACCTCTTCCTTTTGGCTACCTGAGAAGGGAGGGTGGCCGGGGACTCCTCGGGAGCCTGGGTGCTCAATGAAAACCTGCCGACAAGCTTCCACGTGTAATCCTGGCTTCCCGGGAAACCTCGGTTGAAAGAATGGCGCCCCATCAGCCCCGCAGCTCCCAAGGGTAACCAGTGCAAAACCCCACCTGGCCTGTTGTTGGAAGGCGGCCTGTGGTGCGTGCACCGAGTCACAACTGCCAAGTTATGACAACGTGCAGGCAAGGTGTCTCGGGCGCTCGAGGCCTCCCGAGTTGCAGAATGTCGCCTGCAGGAGGGCGTCGCGCGACGTCTTGGGACGCCGGCACTTGGCGCGGAGGCTGCCGCTGGTGCACGGGATCCAGAGGCAGTGGGGGCTGTGGGGAAGGTATTCCGCGGTAAACACCACGCCGGTAGGTCAAAGCAAGGTTTACTTTGTCAGAAGGGCAAGCGCCACGGCAAACCCGAGCCGATTCGCTGAAGGTCCTCCTGCCCCCGACGGAACCTCCGCTGAGCGGCCCCCGGTGGGGCTCTTCCATCTTGCCTACTTCTTCTTCTTGCCTTTCTTCTTCAGAGAGCCCGGCCACTGGAAGCCACGGAACTCCAGGCAGGCGGCGGCATTGTGGGCAATGTAGTAGAGGTTGAGCATGGCCGCTGGGCTCAGAATATCCACCTCCACGGTGGCCTTCTTGGATTTCTTGCCACCCTTGCCTTTGCCTTTCCCGGAGCCCTTCCCTTTGCTCTTGCCTCCCTGTGGGGTGGGGAAAGTGGGAAAAAACACAACAAAACCCCCACCTTGTAGGGAGGGCACTCCGAGGGTGCGTTTCCCCAGGGGCCTGATAACTGAGAGCCAGTTTGCTGCGGTGGTCAAGGCGTTGGCTTAGAAACCAGGAGATGGTGAGTTCTAGACCTGCCGTAGCCATGAAAACCAGCTGGGTGACTTTGGGCCAATCACCAAGAGACAGGGAGTTCTAGTCCCGCTTTAGGCGTGAAAGCTGGCTGGGTGAGTTTGGGCCAATCACCAGGAGACAGGGAGGTTCTAATCCCACCTTAGGCGTGAAAGCCGGCTGGGTGATTTAAGCCAATCGCCAGGAGACAGGGAGTTCTAGTCCCGCCTTAGGCATGAAAGCCGGCTGGGGAGTTTGGGCCAATCGCCAGGAGACAGGGAGTTCTAGTCCCACTTTAAGGTTGAAAGCCGGCTGGGTGACTTAAGCCAATCGCCAGGAGACAGGGAGTTCTAGTTCTGCCTCAGAGGCAAGAAAGCCAATGGGGGGACTTTGGGCCAATCACACATGTTAGTGAATTCTAGCCCCACCCTACTGTAGGCATCAAAGACAACTGAGTGACTTTGGGCCAATCACCAGGAGACAGTAAATTCTAATCCCACCTTACACCTGAAAGCTGGTTGGTTGAATCGCCACAAGATGGGGAGTTGTAGTTCTACCTTGGGCTGGGTGGCTTTGGGCCAATCACCAGGAGGCACTGAGTTCTAGTCCCACTTTAGGCAGTCCCTCTCAACCCAACCCACCTCACAGGGTTGTTGTGGGTTAAATAGGAAGGAGTATTATGCGTACTCGCTGCCTCAAGTTACTTCTGAAGTAATAAAGGCCGGATCACAATGAAATAAATCAAGATACATAAACGGCCATTTGTGCATCTGGGGATTATTTCATGGCCTGAAATGGCCTCTCCCATCCTCATGTCCAGAAATCGGACTAGCTTGGAGTGATGTCGCCCAGCATATCTGCGAGGGGCATTCACTTAACAACCGTGGCAAGAAAGGTCACAAAACGGGGCAAACCTCACTTAACGGCCATCTCACTTAGGAACGGAAATGTTTTGGGCTCAACCGTGGTCATAAACTGAGGATTACCTGCATGCCGGGTTCCCCCTCCCTCCTTCTGCAGCCAGAAAGGGCAAATCTAATCTACCTGTCGCCCAGGTGAAACACAGGGGAAGGTATACGTTACCATGGTATCATCCTTTTATGCAGGTGAGCTGATGAGCATCATGTCCCCTTTCGAAGCCAGATCCCTGGATCGGATTCCAAACTCAGTTTATCTGCAGTGTTAAGGGAAAACAAACAAACAAACAAACAAAAAAGAACGCAGGTTAAGGCCTTTACATTGTAAAAAAATTAAAATATTAAATCCCTGCAATACATCTTGCAGAGAGCTGCAGGTGGACAAAATCAATTCCTTTCCACATAATAACGGGCAGTCGATCAAATCTTTATCGTGTTCAAAGGCCAGCATGAGGTTAACATGCAAACCATCATTTCAAAGGCTAAATAATATAAAATGAAAACGGTCGTTAAGTCCCTTTTTTCCAGCGCCTTGTAACTTTGAACGGTCGCTAAAAGAAACGTTATAAGTTGAGGACCACCTGAATGGAAATAGACTCTTCTCAACCACTTCGAGAGGGGTTGTAGAGCACTATGAAGCGGTATATAAGTCTAAAATGCTATTGCTAGTAATCCGAAAGGATCCTGGAAGAGGTGAGGATTCTGTGCAGGGTGACAGTTTATAAATCCCCGTAATTATTGTTAAATTGGAGCAGGAGTTTTGTCCCTCAGTTGCATTTTACTGACTTGTTTCTGCTTTATTATTTTCTTCCTAAACATTTCAAGAGGAGACCCAGTTTGACTTACTGCTTAAGGCAGAAACTGGGAGAGGGTGGGTTCAAGTCCTGCCTTAGGCATGAAAGTCAAATATCTCAGCCGAACCTACCTCAAAGGGTTGTTGTAGTGTGGAAAATAGGAAGACGGAGTAGTTAAAAGGCAGAGGAAGAAGAGGAGGGAGGGAAGGAATGCAACGAATGAGAGAGGGAAGGAAGGAAAAGAGGGAAGGAAATAGGGAAGGAGGGAAGGAAGGAAGGAAAAAAGGGAGGGAGGGAAGGAAAAATTGGAAAGGAGGGAAGAAAAAGATGAAAGGAAGGAAATGAGAAGGAAGGAAACGAGGAAAGGAAGGAAGGAAAAGAGGGAGGGAGGGAAGGAAGGAAGGAAAAATTGGAGAGGGAAGGAAAAGACAAAAGGAAGGAAATGAGAAGGAAGGAAGCAAGAGGAAAGGAAGGAAGGAAGGAAACGAGGAAAGGAAGGAAAAGAGGGAGGGAAGGAAAAATTGGAAAGGAGGGAAGGAAAAGATGTAAGGAAAGAAAAGAGGGAGGGAAGGAAGGAAAAATTAGAAAGGGAAGGAAAAGAGGGAAGGAAGGAAAAGAGGGAAGGAAAAAATGGAAAGGAGGGAAGGAAGGAAATGAGGAAAGGAAGGAAAAGAGGGAGGGAAGGAAAAATTGGAAAGGAGGGAAGGAAAAGATGTAAGGAAGAAAAAGAGGGAAAAGAAAAGAAAAAGAAAAGAGGGAGGGAAGGAAGGAAAAATTAGAAAGGAGGGAAGGAAAAGATGTAAGGAAGGAAAAGAGGAAAGAAAAAATTGGAAAGGAGGGAAGGAAGGAAAAAATGTAAGGAAGGAAAAGAGGGAAGGAAAAATTGGAAATGAGGGAAGGAAGGAAACAAGGAAAGGAAGGAAAAATTGGAAAGGAGGGAAGGAAAAGATATAAGGAAGGAAAAGAGGGAAGAAAAAATTGGAAAGGAGGGAAGGAAGGAAACGAGGAAAGGAAGGAAAAATAGGAAAGGAGGGAAGGAAGGAAAAGAGGGAGGAAAAGAAGAAAAAACTGGAAAGGAGGGAAGGAAAAGACGAAAGGAAGGAAGGAAAAAAGAGGGGGAGGGAGGGAAGGAAAGAAGCCTCCACCTGCATTCAGACAACCCACTAAGCCCAGCTCCCGGGTCTTTCCCGGAGGACCAACCGCCCGGCTGAGCCTGTGTGGTGAAAGCAGCGGCGGATGAAGAGCTCGGGCGACCGGCCTCCCCACTCGCCCTCTCCCGCTTCGTCCCCTGACCCCCCCCTAACCTGCTCGACGCCGCCACCGCGAACCCGCGGACCCCCCCTGTCCGTCCCCACGTGCTGCGCGGGACACGCGTCTCCCCCACCCCGAAGCGCCGCAACCGCCGCAACGACCGCCCTCGGTGGGCGGGGCTTCTGGCGAGGGGGCGGGCTTCGGAGGCTTCTGTTTGGTCCCGCCGCTGCTCCGGTTGCCATGGGGAAGGGGGCGGGCCCGAATCTCAGTGGCTAGGCAACGAGCCGAGGAGGGGGGAAAAGATGAAGCCTTGCGCCTGCGCAGTCAAAATAATTGTTGGAAGGGTCCTTTTTTTTTTTAAACCAGGTGGGCCCAAGCCTGGCCAGGTGAAGATTTGTGGACTTCAACTCCCAGAATTCCCTGACCACCATAGAAGGGAGGAGGGGTTGCTTTCTGTTTATATCCAACTTTATATACAACCTTCCAGAACATACCTACCAACACTGACAGGGCAAATTGTGTGTGTGTATGTATATCGACACACACATCCACATCCACACACACATATGTGTATATCAGGGGTCCCCAAACTTGGCAACTTTAAGACTTGTGGACTTCAACTCCCAGAATTCCTCAGTCAGACTGATGAATTCAGAAAGCTGAGGTCCTCACATCTTCCTATATGGCTGACTGGGGAATTCTGGGAATTGAAGTCCTCACATCTTCCTGTATGGCTGAATAGGGAATTCTGGGAGCTGAAATCCACAAGTCTTAAAGCTGCCAAGTTTGAAGACCTCTGGTGTATATAAACAGAGCAAACCCTACTTCCCTTAAACACTGATGATGTAATCTAGTTTGGTAATGAAACGCTTGCAAGCTCAGAGAGCATCCAGGATCCCACAGTTCAACCCTGAGTTACAAACACAATTAACCACCACAATTGAGCCCAAAATTTCTACCGCTAAGTGAAGTCAGTTGTGAAGTGAATCGTGTACCCCATTTTATGACTTTTCTTGCCACAGTTGTGAAGTGAATGATTAGCAAGAGTTGGAAGGGGCCTTGTAGGTCATCTAGTCCAACCCCCCCACCAACCATTTCTGACAAACGGCAGTCCAATCTTTTCTTGAAAAGTCTCAAGTGACTGCAGCTGTTAAGCTAGTTACACGGTTATTAAGTGAATCTGGCTTCCCCCATTGACCTTGCTTGTCAGAAAATCGCAAAAGGGGATCCCGTGACCTAGGGACACCGCAACCGTCATAAATATGAGTCAGTTGCCAAGGGTCTGAATTTTGGCCACGTGACCATGGGGAGGCTGCAACGGTCATAAGTGCGAAAAATGGTCATAAGTCACTTTTTTTCAGTGATGTTGTAACTTCAAACAGTCCCTAAATGAGAATTACCTGTATTCTCCTTCATCAGTTTCCTTCCTTTCTGTGTGATATTCCAGAAACTTGCATGCTGGTTTATCATGGGACAATCAGAACTGGACCTATCGCATGCATAAAGATGGAAGCTAAATTTTCTTAGCCTTTTCTTCCAAAAAAAAAATTACAAATCCCCTAACACTTCTCAGCAGTAATTTTTTTAAAACAATTTTTTAAAAAATGCTGCCACAGAGGTGGCTTGTTTTGTACATGATCCTATCTCTTAAATATAGTAATTGTCCCAGAGGGTAATGGCTTTTTAAAGATAAGGTTGTCTTTATTTCATTAAAAACCACATTTACAGAGGCTGGGCAAGGAAGGAGGTTTGGCTGATCTGATAATCCGAATTTCAATATGGTTTAGCTGCGTTATGTAGAGACAGGTGCCATCTGGCACATTAATTTTATAGCTTTTTAGAAAAACCTATGTTAAGGCAGAAGAGGAAAAGAAGAATTTCAGGATGGGAAGGAAGGAAGGAAGGAAAAATGAATTTCTTCATTTATTTTTTTACTAAAAAATGCACTTGTATTAGTCAGTAGTAGCTACTCTTGAGGTTAATGCTTTACAGTATTAGTTACGGAATACATCCCTGTATTATAAATAATAGTTTATAATATTTAATAGTTTAAAATATAATAGTCTATAGTTTAAAATGCTCTCCCCATTGTTACAGTGAAAATATTGGTTCTCTGGGTGTGCGTAACAAGGACTGAAATATCATTCAATAATCTAAAGAAGAAAACTGTTTTAAGAATTAGATTTTTATTCTTCCTTTACATCTCGTGCTTAGGATAATACACACACTTCCTTAAAAAATAATTTGTGAATGCATTAGGAAATCAACATTTTCACTCCGCAGGAATAAAAAGAGAACCGAAGGATTTGAACGCGTTCCTGATAAGCCACTATCAACACAATTATTGTGCTGTGCCACAGAGCAAATATTTTCGCATGCCACTACGATTTTTAAAATCATGTATTTTTCATTTCCGAAGAAGGGGCAGCTCCTTAAACATCTGCTCCAAAATAGGATTGCAAACAAAATGACGCGTAATTTTCTTTTTTTTGTCTTTGTCTTTATGCAGACACTTTCCCAGAACGGATAAGGTGCACATCTAGCTTTCAAGTCATTTTGGTGAAATTTTAAGGCCACGTATTTACCGGGTTGCTAAATATATTCCTCACTGCATCTGCTTCCTTCTTTAGATAGGATGTTGCATATATACGATGGTCTTTTTTTGAAAATGCAGCCTGGAAAATACGTCCAGCTTTTGGACAAAATGCCCTTTCTGCTGGGCCAGAATGAAAAAAAACTAAAATCCTCTTATTTGTATTGTAGAGAGAAATCGGTGCCATGTTACTAAGGCTGCCGATAAAAGTGTCTCACGCACATCAGAACCACACGTAGCCATACTGTACATTCAAGCATGTCAGAATACAAGCGTGTTTAACTCTCGTCTTGTGCTCATAAACCAAGCTTTGCTTACCCTTTTGCTCCTTCTTGCTACCCGTGTTCGTAGCATAAAAACACACACACACAAAGCATGAAGCAGTTCATGGGGGAACCCGTGTTATCTCTGCCGGGAGAGCAGGTTTGGGGACGTGCAAAATATCCTTGAACATGCAAGCAACAGGGCTGGCATGCTTCAAACATTGTCACTTCGCAGAAATAAAAGAGAGAACATCTGTATGGAGGGATCTGAATGCATTCCGGATAAGCCACTATCAACACAATTATTGTGCAGTGTAAATATTTTTTGGCATGCCGCTACAATTTCTAAAATCATGTGCTTTTCATTTCCAAAACAGGCTAAGAGCAGTTCCTGAACATTTGATGCATTCATTTTGATTCGAAAATGCATCAAACCTTCTGCAAACATCTGTTTAATGCAGCGTTGCAATGCCTGGGGAAAAAAATTCTTGGAATATATCCACGGGGAACCGTGAATAAAAGATGGAAGAAAATTGGACCGTGCTTTTACATATTTTTGGTATATAATTTGCATATCTCCGATATATTTTTATGTATCGGAGACACGCAAATGCCCCCTAATTCATCCTTATATCCTGAAAAATTATTCTATGAATACTGTTTTCTAGTTGGAGATTATCCTCATAGGTGGTTATGAAATACAATTAGAGGATACTTTGCTGAAATGTTTGATGGAATCAGCAATAGATTGTCTGTAGTGAAAGAATGTCACCTGGTTTACAGGTATATGTTTGCCCAGGTATCTTACTCATAGAAAATGTTTATAATAGCAACCAAAATCTTGGAGATATATGATGTACAAGCAGGGGTGTCCAATCTTTAAGACTTGTGGACTTCAACTCCCAGAATCCACCTCCCAGGATTCTCCAGCTAGTTTGGGAATTCTGGGAATTGAAGTTCACAGATCTTAAGGTAGCCAAGGTTGCACACTGCTAATGTACAGAATCCCCTTCATTCAAAGCTACCATTATAAGAACTTTAAATATATACGTATCGTTTAACCTGGATCAGGGAAAACGACAGGAATAATAATAATAAATTTCTCTTTGCTTATAGGCCCGTAACGTTGAGGGAAAAGGAGGAATTGTTTTTTACAACTTCTAGCTGGTAATTCCCTGTGGAAAGACATCCACAGACCAAAGAAAACCCCTTCCTCTCCCCCACTCCCCCGTAGCACTTGTTGGCTGAAGCACCGAGTTCGAATCCCGTTTCCCCATCACTGGTAGCACAGCAGTTCTTCCCAGTGAATGGGCTGGGAAAATACTTCTCTCTCCAGCCAGAGTTCGTACGAGTAGCGGAAATCTTCAGGGAGTTCTAATTGTTGTCCCAGCACGCTCTGGAGGCAGTTGTCCACCGGAGAAAATTCAGCATCCTGGATCTTGTCATACCTCCGGCTATTAAAGGACTCGATGTGGGCTCGTAAACTGCATTCTTCGGCTTGGAAGTCCCAAGGACGAGCATCGATATCTAGGTGCCGAAAACACACAGGGGGAAAGTGAGGCAGGATTTCGTGGACTAAAGAGTGACCACTGGGCCTGAAAATCTGGGTGTCACAGGAGTTGAAGGATAGCAGGTTTGTCTTCGCAGTTAAGGTGCCAGGCTAAAAAGCAGGAGACGGTGAATTCTAGTACAACCTTGGGCATGACAGCCAGCTGGTGACTTTGGGCCAATCACCAGAAGATGGTGAGTTCTAGTTCTCCCTTAGGCATTAGCCAGCTGGATGACTTTAGCTAATCACCAGGAGATGGTGAGTTCTAGTCTTGCCTTAGGCATTAAAGCCGACTGGGTTACTTTGGGCCAATCACCAGGAGTCGGTGAGTTCTAGTTCTCCCTTAACGCTGGCTGGGTGACTTTGGGCCAATCTCCAGGAGATGGTGAGTTCTAGTTCTCCCTTAGGTATTAAAGCCAGCTGGGTGACTTTGGTCCAATCACCAGGAGTCAGTGAGTTCTAGTTCTACCTTAGGCATTAACGCTGGCTGGGTGACTTTGGGCCAATCTCCAGGAGATGGTGAGTTCTAGTTCTCCCTTAGGTATTAAAGCCAGCTGGGTGAGTTTGGTCCAATCACCAGGAGTCAGTGAGTTCTAGTTCTACCTTAGGCATTAACGCTGGCTGGGTGACTTTGGGCCAACCATCAGGAGTCGGTGAGTTCTAGTTCTCCCTTAGGTTTTAAAGCCAGCTGGGTGACTTTGGGCCAAACCCCAGGAGATGGCGAGTTCTAGTTTTCCTTGTTTTCACCTACAGACTCTCTGAACCAAGAACTTAGATTGTAGTTCCAAATTTCAGATTACTACAGGTAGTCCTCGACTTATGATCACAAGGAGACCTTATACCATTCCAAATAAATGGTTGTCCAATCTCTTCTTAAAAACCTCCATTGTTGGAGCATCCACAACTTCTGGAGGCAAGTTGTTCCACTGGCTAATTGTTTCCATTCTCAGGAAATTCCTCCTTAGTTCTAAGTTGCTTCTCTCCTTGATTAGTTTCCATCCGTTGCTTCTTGTCCTGCCTTCAGGTGCTTTGGAGAATAGCTTGACTGCCTCTTCTTTGGGGCAGCCCCTTGAGATATTAGAACACTGCTATCATGTCTCCCCTAGTCCTTCTCTTCATTAAACTAAAGGTAAAAGTTCCCCTCGCACATATGTGTTAGTCGTTCCTGACTCTAGGGGGCGGTGCTCACCTCCGTTTCAAAGCCGAAGAGCCAGCGCTGGTCCGAAGACGTCTCCGTGGTCATGTGACCGGCATGACTCAACGCCAAAGGCGCACGGAACGCTCTTCCCTTCCCACCAAAGGTGGTCCCTATTTTTCTACTTGCATTTTTTACCTGCTTTCGAACTGCTAGGTTGGCAGAAGCTGGGACAAGGAACGGGAGCTCACCCCGTTACGCGGCACTCGGGATTTGAACTGCTGAACTGCCAGCCTTTCAATTTACAAGTTCAGTGTCTTAGCCACTGAGCCACCGCGTCCCTAGTTCATTAAACTAGGCCTACCCAATTCCTGCAACCATTTCTTCGTAAACTGGAGTTAACCGGAGTTGAGCTACCGTCCAGATTTACCCTTTGAGGGGTCCGGGGTGGGTTGCCTGTGTAACACTCACCGTTGCCGTACGCCCAGTCGTCATTCATGCGGTGACGGACCTTCTGGTAGATGGCCGACATGGTTTTCATGTTGCTCTTCCTCCACTGGCGTCCGAGATACTTGGTTTGGATCTTCAGCAGCTTCAGGACGTAGAGCTGCATCATGGCTTGTTTCACCTTCAGAGACCGTTTCAGGATCGGAGCGGACTTGAAGACGACAAGCATCTGTCGAGGGAAGAAATACGATCAAGCTTGTTTCAATTAAAAGAGAATATTTGTAGCTCGGGGTTGACAGGAGGGGTCTTTTGGTGCTCTCTGAGCTGGCTTGTTTTCTTGCAGACGTTTCATGACCCAACTAGGTAACATCATCAATGCTAGAAGGGGGGGGAGGAGGAGGAGGAGGACTGTGGGATCCTTGGTGCTCCCTGAGCTTAGTGGTTTTCTTGCAGAGGTTTCATGACCCAAATAAGGAACATCATCACTAGTACAAGGGAGTGGGATTTGGAAGGGAGGAGGAGGAGGAGGTGGTGGAGGATGTTACCTACTTAGGTCATGAAATGTCTGCAAGAGTGCACAAAGGACCCCTCCTTTCTCGTCCTCCTCCTCCCATTATGCAAACTCCACTCACTCCCTTCCATCACTGATGATGTTACCTAGCTAGATCATGAAATGTCTGCAAGAAAACCATCCATCTTAGAGAGCACCAAGGACTCCAGAGTTGTTAGGTCCTTCCTTTCTTCCTTCCTTCCTTCCTTCCTTCCTGAATAGAATAGAATAGAATAGAATAGAATAGAATAGAATAGAATAGAATAGAATAGAATAGAATAGAATAGAATAGAATAAGAGTTGGAAGGGACCTTGGAGGTCTTCTAGTCCAACCCCCTGCCTAGGCAGGAAACCCTACATCACTTCAGACAAATGGTTATCCAACATCTTCTTAGAAACTTCCAGTGTTGGAGCATTCACAACTTCTGGAGGCAAGCAGTTCCACTTATTAATTGTTCTAACTGTCAGGAAACTTCTCCTTAGTTCTAAATTGCTTGTCTCCTTGATGAGTTTCCACCCGTTGCTTCTTGTCCTGCCTTCAGGTGCTTTGGAGAATAGCTTGACCCCCTCTTCTTTGGGGCAGCCCCTTGAGATATTGGGACACTGCTATCGTGTCTCCCCTAGTCCTTCTCTTCATTCAACTAGACATACCCAGTTCCTGCAACCGTTCTTCATATGTTTGAGCCTCCAGTCCCCTAATCCTCTTTGTTGCTCTTCTCTGCACTCTTTCCAGAGTCTCCACATCCTTTTTTACATTGTGGTGACCGAAACTGGATGCAGGATTCCAAGTGGGGCCTTACCAAGGCCTTATAAAGTGGTATTAACATTTCATGTGATCCTGATTCTATCTCTCTGTTGATGCAGCCTAGGATGGCGTTGGCCTTCCTTCCTTCCTTCTTCTCCTCTTCTTCTTCTTCTTCCTCCTCCTCCTCCTCCCCGTCTCCCCCTTCTTCTTCTTCTTCTCTCCCTCCTCTTCTTTTTCCTCCTCCCCCATATAAATAAATAAATGCCTACATCTCCTGACCTACCATTGTCCTCGAGTGTTTCCACTTGGTCAGCTTGTTGAGTATCCTCAGAAGGTTGATGCAAGAGAAGAGATTCCTCCAGCAAAACTGGCTGTCGTCTCCCGTCTCCTTCGGCCAAGGGGGAAAAAAATGACAAATTGCAGCATTCCCACAACCAACAGCCTGAGCAAGGGGTTGGACTAGAAGACCTCCAAGGTCCCTCCCAACTCTGTTATTTTGTTATGCTGCTATTAACCAACCCCACCAATGTGCAGGAGGTGATAAATAATCAGTGACTTACGAGACTTTCAGCATTGAGTTCTGGTAACTCATGGATGGTGCTGGCGGGATAATCCAAGGCAGAAACACTGCAGGGAAATCAAAGGGAAGAAAAAGAGAAGAGGAGGAGGAGGAGGAGAAGGAGGAGGAGGAGGAAGAGAAGGAGGAAGAGGAGGAGGGGAAGAAGAAGGAAAAGACGGAGGAGGAGGAGGAGAAGGAGGAAGAGGAGGAGAAGGAAAAGAAGGAGGAGGAGGAAGAAGAGGAAGAGGAGAAGAAGACGGAGGAGGAGGAGAAGGAGAAAAGGAGGAGGAGGAAGAGGAGAAGGAGGAGAAGGAAGAGGAGAAGAAGAAGAAGGAGAAGATGGAGGAGGAGGAGGAGGAAGAGAAGGAGGAAGAGGAGAAGGAGGAGGAGGAAGGGGAGAAGGAGGAAGAGGAGGAGGAGGAGGAGGAGGAGAAGAAGAAGGAGAAGGAGAAGAAAAAGAAGAAGAATACGATAATAAATAAAAGAATTCTTCAGTTGAAGGTTTAAAATGCCTCGTGGGTTGAGGGTGGGGGAGACTGGGGCGACTGCAGCCGGCACCTGTTTTTGGCGGTGATGTAGGACAAGATATTCTGGTTGAAGAACTTCAGAATCAACGGGATGCAGTTGGCGAAGACCAGATGCTGGGCGACATACTCAAACTGGAGGAAAAGGAAAGGGGAAATGTTACAGAGAGTCAAAGGAATTTCAAAGACGAGAATTTTTTTTTAAGTTTTTTTTTTATTATTTTTCAAAATACAAGCATTCCATCTTTCCTTAAACAGGGTGTCATCTGGGCTCAAATATCTCTGTGTGCCAACCTTCAACATTTACAACATCATAATTCACTTAACATAATTCTCTAATCTTAAAATTACAGCATGTTAAACAGTCAAACATTATAAGCCTATTCGTTTTTCCTTTTAAGACGAAACTTTTTTGTAGCTCTGGACTGAACCGTGAAGAGTCCTTGGTGCTCTCTGAGCTTAGTGATTTTCTTGCAGACATTTCATTACCCAGCTAGAGAACATCATCAATGCTAGAAGGGAGGTGGGCTTAAGAAATTTTAATTTTATTTTATTTAGTAAACTTATTAGTGGCCCCATTTTAAAAAGCTAACTCTGGGCAGCTTACAATCTTAAAAGGATAAAGCTACAGTGGTACCTTGGTACTCCACACTGCTTTGAAACTCCTCTAATTTGTTATTTAATGCATTTTCATGTGAAAATGTTGTCCCAGTACTCAATGCACAAGCTAGAACTTGTCGGTGTCGCTTGCCTTGTGACTCACTTACATTACAGATAGTCCTCAACTTACAGGGGTTCTTCCTGTAATTTAGATTCTGCTTTTTCTAATTTTCCTTGGAGCTCTGCGAGTTGATTCTTCTTATTTCTATTTTTCCTTATTGTGTACGCTATCGATAAACCTCTTATATAAGCTTTTGTTGTATCCCATAAATTTCAAGTTTCTTCATTCCAGTTTTCTTTTAAAAACAGGCCTAATTCTTTTTTTTTGAGTATTGAATAAAATTCTTCTCTTTCATTATCCTTTGGTTCATGGTCCATCTCCCTCTCCTCCTGACTTCTCCTTTCCAACTGATTTTTAATGGATTGTGGTCTGCCCAGGAATTGGCTTCAATTTTACCACCTTTCTTGCTACATGTATTAAGTGAATGACTGCAATTGTTAGGGTGACGGTTGTTAAGTGAATCGGGCTTCCCCATGGACTGTGCTTGTCTGAAGGTCACAAAAGGGGATCACATGACCTCAGGACGCTGCGACCGTCATAAATATGAGTCAGTTGCCAAGCGTCTGACTTTTGATCACGTGACCACGGGGAGGCTGCAACGGTCGTGTGTGAAAAATGGTCATAAGTCCCTTTTTTCAGGGCCGCTGTAATTTTGAACAGTCACTAAATGGAACTGTTGTGGAGTGGTGCGGTGGCCTAGTGGTGGAGCTCTTGCCTCACAATCAGGAGGCTGTGAGTTCGATCCTAGGTAGAGGCAGATATTTCTCTCTCTGGGCACACTGAGAATATGTCTGCTGAACAAAACTCAGCATTGGTGACAGGAAGGGCATCCGGCCAATAAATACTCAGCTCCATTCAGTTGCCCTGTCTCTACCCCATAAGGGATTATGGGGTCGTTAAAAGAAGGTGACTAAATGAAGTATTGTAAATTGAGGTGCCCCTGTATTTTTTATGAGAAAAATATGTTTGATACTTGTCAATTTTTGGTACTTTTTGTGCCTCACAGAACTAATCAATAAGTACCGAGGTACCGCTATATATAAAACCTATACACCAGGGATCTCCCAACCTGGCCACTTTTACAACTGATGGACTTCAACTCCCAGAATTCCTCAGTCACCCATTAGTGGACTTCAACTCCCAGAATTCCTCAGCCAGTCATCAGTAGACTTCAACTCCCAGAATTCCTCAGCCAGCCACTGGTAGACTTCAACTCCCAGAATTCCTCAGCCAGCCATTGGTGGGCCTTCCTCAGAATTCCTCAGCCAGCCATCGGTGGACTTCAACTCCCAGAATTCCTCAGCCAGTCATCGGTAGACTTCAACTCCCAGAATTCCTCAGCCAGCCATTGGTAGACTTCAACTCCCAGAATTCCTCAGCCAGCCACTGGTAGACTTCAACTCCCAGAATTCCTCAGCCAGCCATTGGTGGGCCTTCCTCAGAATTCCTCAGCCAGTCATCGGTAGACTTCAACTCCAGAATTCCTCAGCCAGTCATCGGTAGACTTCAACTCCCAGAATTCCTCAGCCAGCCATTGGTGGGCCTTCCTGAGAATTCCTCAGCCAGCCATCAGTGGACTTCAACTCCCAGAATTCCTCAGCCAGGAATTCTGGGAGTTGAAGTCCACCCGTCGTAAAGCAGCCAAGGTTGGAGACCCCTGCTATACACAATGCGAATAAAATACCGTAAAATGGAAGAAAATCTCTTTCTTCTCTCCAAAGACCGGCAAAGTCCCACCTGATAAACGTGGTTCAGCTTAAAATGCTTCAGGAGGAGCAGCAATAAAGCAGAGATGCTCTTGACAATGATTTCTTTGTGCCGGTTCACATCGATCCCCAGTTTCATGCTCTGGAGGACGGTCACCCTGAAACCCAGGAGAAAAAAAAAGATGAGGATTTAAACCAGGGGTCTCCAAACATGGCCACTTTGGAAAGACTTGTGGACTTCAACTCCCAGGATTCCTCAGCCAGCATGGAATTCTGGGAGTTAAAAGTCCACAAGATTTAAAACGGCCAAGGTTGGACATCCCTACTCCTATACCATCCTGGACAGATGGCTGTCCAGTCACTTCTTGAAAACCTCGAGTATTGGAGCACCCACAATTTCTAGAGGCAAGTAGTTCCACTGATTAATTGTCCTCACTGTTAGGAAGTCTCTCCTTTATTTCTAGGTTGCTTCTCTCCTTGATTAGTTTCCATCTGTCGTTTCTCATCCTGCCTTCTGGTGCTTTGGAGAAGAGCTTGACTCCCTCTTCTTTGTGGCAGCCCCTGAGATATTGGAAGACTGCTATCATATCTCCCCTAGTCCTTCTTTTCATCACAGTAGATATACCCAGTTCCTGCAACCGTTCTTCATATGTTTTAGCCTCCAGTCCCCTAATCATCTTCTTTTTTTAAAAATTTAATTTGATTTATATGCTGCCCTTCTCCGGAGACTCAGGGCGGCTTACAGTGCGTTAAGCAATAGCCTTCATACTTTTGTATATTTTATACAAAGTCATCTTATTGCCCCCACAAACTGGGTCCTCAATTTACCTACCTTAGAAAGGATGGAAGACTGAGTCAACCTTGAGCCTGGCGAGATTCGAACTTACTTTAATTGCAGACAGCTGGTGTTAAATTACAGTGCTTAGTCTGCAGTTATCCAGGCTCCTGCTCTTTTTTTCTTCTTTTTGCTCTTCTCTGTACTCTTTCTAGAGTCTCAACATCTTTTTTTACATCATGGTGACCAAAACTGGATGCAGGATTCCAAGTGTGGCCTTACTAAGGCATAATAATGTGGTATCAACACTTCAGGTGATCTTGATTCTACCCCTCTGTTAATGCAGCCTAGGATGGTGTCGGCTTTTTTGGCCGCTGCCGCACACGGCTGGCTCATATCTAAATGGTTGTCTACTAGGACTCCAAAATCCCTCTCAGAGTTCCTACTATTGAGCCAGGGACCACCTATGTTGTACCTGTGCATTTCGCTTTTCTTGCCTAGGTGTAAAACCTTTACTTTTCTCACCACTAGAATTGCATTTTGTTGAATAGGGCTGAGTTCTCAACTCTGTCAAATGCCTTCTGGATCTTCAGCCTATCTTCTAAAATGTCTGCTATTCCCCCACCAGCTTGGTGTCATCTGCAAATTTGATGAGTTCCCCTTCTACAGGTCGTCCTCCAGTTACGACCACAACTGAGCCCAGCATTTCTGTTGCTAAGTGAGACATTTCTTAAGTGAATTTTATCCCATTTTACGACCTCTCTTGTCTCAGTTGTTAAGCGAACCACTGCAGTTTGTTAAGTTAGTAATACGGTTGTTAAGTGAATCCAGCTTCCCCATTGACTTTGTCAGAAGGTTGCAATAAGGGATCATGTGACCCCGAGACACCACAACCGTCATAAATATGAGTCAGTTGTAAAATGTCTGAATTTTAGTCAGTATGACCATGGGGATGCTGCAATGGCTGTAAGTGTAAAAAACGGTCGTAAGTCACTTTTTTCAATGCCGTTGACACTTCGAACGGTCACTAAATGAACTGTTGTAAGTCGAGGACTGCCTGTGTCCCCTCATTTAGATTATTTATGAAGATTTTCAGAAATCCCAAGTGTGGCCTCCTGCGGATGTAACAGGACTACAACTCCCAGAATTCATGCTGATGCATAATGTCTTCCCCAGATCTCCCGCCACATCGGAGTAGTTCCATAGCTTTTCCGGGGTGCCGTCCACTTACGGCATTTCCTCCGGCAACACATCTGCCAGGATGTTGATTGAGTCGGTCTTGGCTTTTGAAGTTGGGGCCGCAGCTAGCAGGATCTTCAACAGAGCTATCTGAAACAGGGAAGGAGATTATCAATCCAAAAGTAGACTTTAAAATAGGGCTCTCCAAATTTAGCCACTTTAAGACTGATGGACTTCAACTCCCAGAATTCCTCAGCCGGCCTAACTTGGCCGCTTTAAGACTGGTGGACTTCAACTCCCAGAATTCCTCAGCCAGCTTAACTTGGCTGCTTTAAGACTGGTGGACTTCAACTCCCAGAATTCCTAAGTCGGCCTAACTTGGCCGCTTTAAGACTGGTGGACTTCATCTCCCAGAATTCCTCAGCCGGCCTAACTTGGCCGCTTTAAGATTGGTGGACTTCAACTCCCAGAATTCCTCAGTCAGACTGATGAATTCAGAAAGCTGAGGTCCTCACATCTTCCTGTGTGGCTGACTGGGGAATTCTGGGAATTGAAGTCCTCACATCTTCCTGTGTGGCTGACGAGGGAATTCTGGGAGTTGAAGTCCACAAGTCTTAAAGCGGCCAAGTTTGGAGACCCCAAAAAACAACACCAAAAAAATTACAATTTACAATTTAATTCAAATGAACAGAAGGGAGCTCAGTCCAATCAAAGAGATTTGTACATCGCTGTCTGTGGAACCAGGATTAATTGGTACAGATAGTTCTCGAGTTACGATGGCAGTCAAGGCCAAAATTTCTGTTGGTAAGTGAGACATTTGTTAAATGAATTTGGCCCCATCTTACGACCGTTCTTGCCACCGTTGTTAAGTGAATCGCTGCAGGTGTTAGGAACGTGGACATTAAGCGAATCCCGCTTCCCCATTGACTTTGCCTGTCAGAAGGTCGTAAAAGGGAATCACGTGACCCGGCGACCATGCAACCGTCATAAATACGAGTCAGTTGCCAAGCGTCTGAATTTTGATCATGTGTCCATAGGAATGGTCACACTTTTTCACACATACGACCGTTGTAGCATCCCCATGGCCACGGGATCAAAACGCAGCCGCTCGGCAAATGACTCGTATTTATGACGGGGTCACGTAATCCCCTTTCGTGACCGTCCGACAAACATACTCCACGAGGAAGCCAGATTCACTTCACGACGTTACTAACTTAGCAACCGCAGTGGTTCACTTAACAACAGTGACCCAGAAAGGTTGTAAAACGGGTCAAAACTCACTTCCCAACTGTCTCGCTTAGCGCAAAGAAAACTCTGGTTTCAATTGGGGTTGTAAATCGAGGACTACCTGTGTTAAGGAAACATAATAATAATCCTAACTGTCATTGTGGGAACACCCCACAAACTTTACTTCGTATTGTGAGGAATTTTCCCCTCAGAAATTGGACTGGATCCCTGCTCTCGTGGGCAGTGCTGTCCAATGGCTAAAGGATCCAGATATCCGGCCAGAGGTTCAGTCACTCCAGTAAATGCCAAAACTTAATTTTATTCATATTTTTATTCATTACCCACCCTGTATCTTTTTAAAATAATTCGCTGATTTGGCGTTTTATATATAATAATTATTATTATTATTATTATTATTATTATTATTATTATTGAGATTTATACGCCGCCCTATCTCCAGCCGGACTCAGGGCGGCTCACAACAGTTTTGATGCAAATTTGATGCACACTTTTGATGCACATTTTCTAGGTTCCTTCTGTGAATTGCATGCACTACGCTGCATTTATGCTACGCCGCGTGCAATAAAATAAACAAACAAATAAATAAATAAAACAACAACTCACCATGTACTGGGGCAGGTTGTACAGCATGGCTCGATATAGGATCTCACAGGGTGTCTCCTGCACTTCCTCCTCCCCCTGAAGTGAGAGAACAGGTGCAAAACAATCAGAACAATGGAGCTGGAAGGGACCTTAGAGGTCTTCTAGTCCAACCCCCTGCTCAGGCAGGAAGTTATACCAGTTCAGACAAATGATTGTCCAATCTCTTCTTTAAAAACCTTCCCGTGATGAAACACCCACAACTTCTGGTGGCAAGGAGTTCCACTGGTTAATTTGTCCTCACTGTTAAGGAAGTTTCTCCTTATTTATTTATTTATTTATTTATTTATTAGTTCGATTTATATGCCGCCCTTCTCCGGAGACTCAGGGCGGCTTACAATGCGTTAAGCAATAGCCTTCATCCTTTTGTATATACCTGCTTAGTAGGGTTTTCACCCCCCTAAACGGTGTTCTTTTTTATACAAAGTCAGCTTATTGCCCCCACAATCCGGGTCCTCATTTTACCTACCTCGAAAGGATGGAAGGCTGAGTCAACCTTGAGCCTAGTGAGATTTGAACTTGCAATAATTGTAGGCAGCTGGTGTTACTTAACAGTGCTTTAGTCTGCTGCGCTACCAAGGCTCTTTCCAGGTTGCTTCTCTCCTTGATGAGTTTCCATCCGTTGCTTTTTGACCTACTTTCAGGAGAATAATTTGACCCCCTCTTCTCTGTGGCAGCCCCTCTATTATGTCACCCCTGGTCCTTCTTTTCATTAAACTAGACATACCCAAATCCTACAACCGTTCTTCATAAATTTTAGTGTCCAAGAAGAGAACAGACAGAACAAATTATCATAGCAGAGCAAACAAGAAGACACAGGAAGTCCTTGACTTACGACCGTCCGTTTAGCGACCATTTGAAGTTACGACGGCACTGAAAAAAATGACTTCCAATTGCACCTCACGTTTACGGCCGTCGCAGCATCAAAAAAAAAAATCAAAATTCAGGCGCTCTGCAACCTGTATTTACAACAGTTGCAGGGTCCAGGACCTTCCCAGCCGGCATCTGACAGGCAAAGTCGAATGGGAGTAGACAGATTCGCTTAACGACCAGATGATTCAATTAACAACTGCAGGGATTCGCTCAACAACCCTGGCGGGAAAGGTCATAAAACCGGACACGACACATTGAAGAGCTGCTTTGCTCAGCCATGGGATTTCTGGTGCAATCGACGGTCGTAAGTCGAGGACCGGGAGGTGAAAAAGCTGCAGCAGAATGAGACAGCCAATGAGAGATTCTTACCAAAGAGATGGGACACTTTTCCATTTCTTTCTCATTCTTGATCTGCACTTCGGCGACCGAGATATATTTGTGCTGAGGAGAAGATGGAACAACGGGAATCGCACAAAAAATAATCAAAATATCTTGGAGGAATTTGAGTTAAAATCTCAAATTGAGATTGAGATTGAGTTAACTGAATTAAAATCCAGTTTAATTTAGTTAAAATTGAAAATATGAGCCAGTTTGCTCTGGTGGTTAAGGCAACAAGCTAGAAAGTGGGAGAATGGGAATTCTAGTCCTGCCTTAGGCATGAAAGCAAGCTGGGTGACTTTGGGCCAATCACTAGGAGATTGTGAATTCTAGTCCAGTTTAGGCATGAAAGGCAGTTGGTGAGTTGGGCCAATCACCAGGAGACAGTGAGTTCTAGTCCTGCTTTAGGCATGAAAGCAAGCTGGGTGACTTTGGGCCAATCACTAGGAGATTGTGAATTCTAGTCTCACTTTAGGCATGAAAGCCGGCTGGGTGACTTTGGGCCAATCACCAGGAGACTGTGAGTTCTAGTCCCGCCTTCGGCATGAAAACAAGCTGGGTGACTTTGGCCCAATCACTAGGAGACTGGGAGTTCTAGTTCTGCCTTAGGCACAAAACCCAGCTGGGTGACTTTGGGCCAATCACCAGGAGATGGTGAGTTCTAGTCCTGCCTTAGGCATAAAAGCCGCCTGGATGACTTTGGGCCAATCACCAGGAGACTGTGAGTTCTAGTCCCGCCTTCGGCATGAAAACAAGCTGGGTGACTTTGGCCCAATCACTAGGAGACTGGGAGTTCTAGTTCTGCCTTAGGCACAAAACCCAGCTGGGTGACTGGGCCAATCACCAGGAGATGGTGAGTTCTAGTCCTGCCTTAGGCATGAAAGGCGCCTGGGTGACTTTGGGCCAATCACCGGGAGACAGTGAGTTCTAGTCCTGCCCGAGGCACGAAAGCCAGCTGGGTGACCTCGGGCCAATCAGCAGGAGACAGTGAGTTCTAGTCCCACCTTAGGCATGAAAACTGGCTGATTGCCTTGAGCAAATTTGGGAAGAAGGAGGAGTTTAGGTATGTTTGAGTTTGAGTTGTTTATAAGAAATAATGAAGATGGGATATAAATAAATAAAAACAATATAAATAAAAAGTCCCCAAATCCTCCTTACAGAGATCCCAGAATCGCCACGCGAGAAAAATCAGAATTCACAGCTAAAGCCATGTGCTTATTGAAGGATTTCTCAACCCTGCCTGCTTTAAGGTGGGTGGACTTCAACTCCCAGAATTCCACAGCCAGCTTTGCTTTCTGGGAGTTGAAGTCCACCCACCTTAAAGCAGGCAGGGTTAAAGAAATAACCGGTTTATTGCCAACTATCTGCCTTACCTCTTTCAGAGTCTTCACACTTTCATGGATCGGGCACGGTAAGCCCACCAAGGTCTCCGTGTCCCTGGAAAGGGTGATCAGAAGAGAACAGGAAGGAAGGAACAAGGGGGAAAAAAAAGAGAGAGAAATTAAGAACCAAATATATCTTTTCTTCTTCCAGCTTTTGGATGACGAGGCTGTCTTTGCAAGAACGCTTTATCCATCCATCCATCCTTTCCACTTTTACCGTAATGCATTTGACAAACAGACTCTGGGAAAAAAACAAAAACCTATCAGGAAAAAGTGAACTGAGACCTTATTGTACGTATAAATATTTTGTATATGCTTAACGCCGGGCTCTTCAACAGTGCAATTCAAGCCACCCCGGATGGAAGTCTCTAGAAAACTCCCCCTCTCGCACATCTGGAGTTGGAGAAGAGTGCTAGAATTGCAATATCTAGAACCGGAAGAAGCCGCTGAAGTCAATCCAGTAAAGGATTTCAAAGTACGAATATGGTCAGTGGCAAAAAGTGAAAGGGAGAGAAAGTAGATAGGTGGGTGGATCTTTGTAGAATGGTTATTTAAACCGGTGGGCTCCCTGGTAGACGTTTCATGACCCATCTAGGTAACATCATCAGTGCTAGAAGGGGGTGGGCTTTGCAGAATGGAGGAGGTAGAGGAGAAGGAGGAGGACTGTGGGGTTCTTGGTGCTGAGTTAGTGGTTTTCTTGCAGACGTTTCGTGACCCAACTAGGTAACATCATCAGTGTTAGGGGGTTTGTGGAGAGGAGGAGGAAGGAGGGAGGGGCTGTAGGATCCTTGGTGCCCTCTGAACTTGATTGTTGTCTTGTAGATGTTTCATGACCCAGACTAAGTAACTTCATCACCCCATAGTCCTCCTCCTCCTTCTCCGTTCCACAATCCCTTCTAGCACTGATGGTGTTACCTAGTTGGGTCATGAAACGTCTGCAAGAAAACAACCAAGCTCAGAGGGCACTGAGGACCCCGCTCAGCCCTTCCTTCCTTCTTTCCTTCCCTCCCTCCCTCCTTCCCCCTCCCCTTCCCTTTATTCCTTCTCCTTTCTCTTCCTCCTCGTCCTCTCCACAAACCACCCTCCCTTCTAGCACTGATGATGCTCCCTAGTTGGGTCATGAAACGTCCGCAAGAAAACCACCAAGCTCAAAGAGGACCCAGGACCCCACAGTAGTAGTTGTCTTCTTCTTCTTCTTCTTCTTCTTCTTCTTCTTCTTCTTCTTCTTCTCTTCTTCTCTTCTTCTTCTTTCTTCTTCTTCTTCTTCTTCTTCTTCTTCTTCTTCTTCTTCTTCTTCCTTCTTCTTCTTCTTCTTCTTCTCCTCCTCCTCCTCCTTCTTCTCCTGCTTCTTTTTCTTTCTTTTTCTTCTTCTTCTTCTCCTCCTCCTCCTCCTCCCTCCCTTCTAGCACTGATGATGTTCCATAGTTGGGTCATGAAACGTCCGCAAGAAAACCACCAAGCTCAGAGAGCACCAAGCACCCCTCAAAAAACCCAGATTTCCCCATTTAGCCAGCAATGCCTTCAACCCCCGACAGGTAAATTAAAGTTTTGTACTTAAGAGGTAAAAAAATAGCCTCCGAGGGCCACCATCTACTCACTGCCCAAGTGTGAATCCAATGAATTTGTTCCTGCTTGTCTCCAGGAAATGTTCTATGTCTTTCTGTCTGGAAGACACAAAGTGGTTGCATCACAGACAACGAGGCAGAGAGAGAGAGAGAAGGAAAGAGAGAGAGAGAGAGAGACAGAGAGAGAGAGAAGGAAAGAGAGAGAGAGAGAGGACAGAACAAAAGTACAAAACTTGAGAAAACTTTGTAGCCTCATGCCAATTCTGGATTAGCAGTTGCTTTTTCAGCCACTTTGAGTGCAGGCTGGTCACATCCAAAGATAAAAGATTTAAAGCCAGTCCTTGATGTTAGGATATGGTTTGAGCCTAACAAGTTGTCCAGGCAATATGTTGTGTTCTGTGACTTTAATGTGAATATGTATTGTGTGACTTTAAGGCTTTACTGCTGATTCCTTGTAGTGCTGAGTCATGCTGTAATTAGTTGTGAACGTATTTAAGGAAGGTATTGCAACGTATTCAGTTGCTGCTATGATATGCTGCCATTGTGTATGAAGATGTTGTGATATGCTACCAGAGTATGATATGCTACCATTGTGAGGAGTTGCTAACATTCTGCTAATTATCGTTGGATGGATCTGCTATCATTGTGGTTTGTGAACCAGAGTGAGTTTGTTATTCTAACCAACTAATGTTTGGTGAGAAGATATCTGTAACTACTGGACTGATTTTACTTGGAATTTGTTTAAAGACTATGAGAGTGTTTTTTCTACTATAAAGTAAGCTTTTGATAAACCAGTTTGCACATCTCTTATTCATCGCTCTCAGCAACGTTTCCTTGTGCATTTACTCTGCTGGTTGGTAACACAACACCAATATCCTTAACACTTGACTTACAAATAGTTCATTTATAGTGACTGATCGAAGTTAGAATGGCACTGTAGAAAAAGTCTGACCCGTTTACTGACGACTGTTGCAGCGTCCCCGTGGTCATGTGATCCAATTCCGGACGCTTGGCAACCGACTCATATTTACGACGGTTGCAGAGATCCACTTTATGTGACCTTCCGCCCAGCAAAGTGAACAGGGAAGCCAGATTCACTCAAACAACCGTGTGACTAAGTCGACACCGCAGTGATTCGCTTAACAACTCCGGCAAGGAAAGTCGTAACGTGGGGCAAAGCTCACTTAACAACTGCCTCACTTAGCGACGGAACATTTGGACGTTTCAACGTCCTTCATCACCCAGAGGCTTTTAAGAAGAGATTAGACACCCACTTGTCTCAAATCGTATAGGGTAGATCTCCAAGGATCCTTCCAGCTCTATTCTGACTCTGAAAGAGCAACCATCTCATCCTCCTTCACGTCCTGACCAGGTCCACGGAAGGTTCCTGAGGGTAGGAGGAGACCTAGGGGGACACGATACCTGACTTTGGGGCCCACGGAAGGCCCTTTGGGAAGGAGACCTTCTCCACAGGCGGGCATGGAACCGGCTCGGCTTGTACGACGGTGGTCCTTTCCAAGAGATCCAACTCGCTTTCCAGCCCGCTCTCAATGTCATCGGCCTCCTCTTCGTCCACCACGGCCTCCTCGTTCTTGAAGGGGTCCCTCTCGTTGTAAATATCTAGACTGTCCTGCTTCATCAGAGGCTGCAGCGAAGAAAGCAAGAGAGGAACAAAGGTGGCGGCAACCTGGTAGGAAGTCTTCTGCTCCGGGACAACCTTCTACCAGAAGGAGCACCCATGCTTTTGGGGGAATAAGAAGATGACTCGCCAAGAAAACCGGAAAGTCGAGGGACAGAGCTCAGCCCATGTCTGAAGGAAGAGGAACCATCTCACCACAATGGGATGGGCCCACCCTATCTGTGCCAGCAGAAAGAATAGGGTCTCCTGCCTGAGCAGGGGGTTGGACTAGAAGACCTCTAAGGTCCCTTCCAACCCTGTGAAGTAGGCTGGGCTGACAGAGAGAGACTGGCCCAATGTCACCGAGATGGCTTTATGCTTAAGGTGGGACTAGAACTTCCCATCTCCTGGTGATTGGTCCAAAGTCACCCAATCAGCTCTCATGCCTAAGGTGGGACTAGAACTCCCCATCTCCTGGTGATTGGTCCAAAGTCACCCAATCAGCTCTCATGCCTAAGGTAGGACTAGAACTCACCATCTCCTGGTGATTGGTCCAAAGTCACCCAATCGGCTCTCATGCCTAAGGTGGGACTAGAACTCTCCATCTCCTGGTGATTGGTCTGAAGTCACCCAATTGGCTCTCATGCCTAAGGTGGGACTAGAACTCCCCATCTCCTGGTGATTGGTCCAAAGTAACCCAATTGGCTCTCATGCCTAAGGCAGGACTAGAACTCCCCATCGCCTGGTGATTGGTCCAAAGTCACCCAATCAGCTCTCATGCCTAAGGAGGACTAGAACTCCCCATCTCCTGGTGATTGGTCCAAAGTCACCCATCTGGCTTTCGTACCTAAGGTGGGACTAGAACTCCCCATCTCCTGATTTCTAGCCTGATGCTTTAACCACTAGGCCAAACCTCATGTATGTGGGAAGAACGGGAGAGACAAGGCTGTCTTGACAGCATAAAATTCCCAGGTCCTGCAAGGGGAGACCCTTGGAGGCGTTCCCTTGCTTCAAACTAAAGTCCTTGCAATTTTCACCCTGGATTAAAAACCACACCCGTCCCAGCCCGAGTCTCCAATTTATCCGAAATTTACCGATAGCCAATCATTCTTGTCCCACGCCTGCAAAGCAAGGAGGATGGGTAAATTGACGTTATCAATCAAAACAGGAAGGGAAGGAAAGGAAGAATTATCTGCATTTCTGACTCCGGGTAATAAAGCGAAATTTTTATCCTACCCGTCGACTCCGGTGTCCCCGTTTCTGCACCGGCGGCTGCGGCTGTTCCCCCAACTCGGCGGTGTAGGCTGGAGGGGAGGCCGCCCGCATGTTACGCATGACCAGGATGCTGTCTTCTGGCAAGGGGGGCAGCCCCAGATCCTGCCGCTTCTTCACCTTCATCGCTTGGAGGGTATCGAAGCCGCCCAGAGTGAACTGGAAAAAAGAGGCCAGCTAGAGTAGGGGTCTCCAACCTTGGCAACTTTAAGACTTGCGGACTTCAAATCCCAGAGTTCCTCAGCCAGCTTTGCTGTAGCTGGCCAGCGACTCTCAATTTTCATAGAGAGAATCTTTGAAGCTCAGGGTTGACCAGTGAGGTCTTGGGCGTTCTCTGAATTTGTCTATCTTCTTGCAGACATTTCATGACCCAACTAGGGAACATCATCAGTGCTTAGAAGGCATTGGGGTTTTGCTCTCTGTTAAACTACTGACAAGAAAACCACACCTCCATCCTTCTAGTGTCAGCCTTTCCAGCTGCATTTACTCTAGTGCCGACATAAGAAGGAGAAGCGGAGGCGTCTGGAAAGGGACGTTTGACTTTTCACCTACTTATTTTCCCTGGAGATAATATCCCCTAGGAGATGGGATGGGAGGGGGGAAATTCCTTTGAGCTGGAGCAGTAGATTAGGGGTAGAGTGACTTGGAAGATGGCCAATGAGTGCAGGGGAGTGGGGAACGGAAAGGGAGGGTTTTGGGTCTGGAAGTCAGTGTTGGCTGTGATGGAGTCGGAGTTACAATGTCGTGCTTAATAAATGGGAGTTTTTCTTCAAAGACTTTGTTTGAAATGCAATTTATTTGAGACGACCTCGAAACCTGACATCTAGCACTGATGATGTTCTCTAGTTGGGTCATAAAATGTTTGGCAAAAAAAAAACCCCAAGTTAATAGAGAACCCTACAGTTCTTCTCCTGTTTCTCCTTCTCTTTTTCCTCCTCTTCCTCTTCCTCCTCCTTTCCTCCACAAGCCCCTCTCCTCATCTACCACTGATGATGTTCCCTAGTTGGGTCATAAAACGTTTGCAAAAAAACAATCAAGTTCAGAGAGGACCTCCCGGTCCTCCTCCTCCTGTTTTTCCTTCACCTTCTCCTCCTTCTCTCCACCTCCACAAGCCCCTTTCCTCATGTAGCACTGATGATGTTCCCTAGCTGGGTCATAATACGTCTGCAAAAAACAATCAAGTTCAGGTCCTCCTCCTCCGGTTTCCAGTCCTCTTCCTCCAACCTTCCAGTCCTCCTCCTCCGGTTTCTCCTCCTCCTCTTCCTCTTCCTCCTCCTTTCCTCCACAAACCCCTCTCCTCATCTACCACTGATGATGTTCCCTAGTTGGGTCATGAAACGTTGGCTCTGAGACCGCCCCCCCCTCTTCCCACCGATGCGCCCCACTGAAACCCCATCAGGGAAAGAGAGAAGCTGACCCACCACGAGGACCTTCCAGAGTAAAAGCAGGACTTTCTTCATGGGGAAATGCGGAGAATGCTCGCTGCAGAATTTGGTCACCATCGTGAACAGCAAGAGGCCAAACGGTTCTTCGCTGTGGATCGGATAACCTGCCAGAAGAATTTTGAAAAGTCAAATCAGAGGGGTGTGTGTGGAAGGGATAGGAGAAGTTGAGTTGGGGGTGTCATCAGCAGCCTGGCAAAACCCAGCTTTGTGTCTACGTAAGAGCAACCCAGAAGTTTTAAAAAAAATTAAACAGAATTTTTGGCGGGGGTGTCCATCCAAGGAGAGGGAATGGATCCCCAATTATTGCATGCGGCATCGGAGGTTGCAAAGGGTTAAGAAGGAAGAGAGAGAGAAGAAAAAGCAGAGAGACAGAGAAGAGAGAGAGGGAAAGAGAGAGAGAAGGGAGAGGAGAGAGAGAAAGAAGAGAAAGGAGAGAGAAAGGAGAGAGGAGAGACAGAAGAGAATAAGAAGAGAAAGAGAAGAGAGAGACAGAAAGAGAAGGAAGAGAGAGAGAAGGGAGAGGAGAGAGAGAAGAGAAAGAGAGAAGAGAAAGAGAAGAGAGAGAGGACGGAGAAGAGAGAGGGAAAGAGAAGAGAGAGAAGGGAGAGGAGAGAGAGAAGAGAGAGAGAGAAGAGAAAGAGAGAAGAGAGAGAGGGAAAGAGGAGAGAGAGAAGGGAGGAGAAAGAGAAGAGAAAAAGAAGAGAAAGAAGAGAGAGGAGAGAGAGGACAGAGAAGAGAGAGAGAAAGAGAGAAAAGAGAGAGGGAAAGAGAGAAGAGAGAGAGAAGGGAGAGGAGAGAGAGGAGAGAGAGAGAGAGAGAGAAGATAACAAGAAGAAAAAGAGAAGAGAAAGAGAAGAGAGAGAAAAGAGAGAGAAAAGAGAGAGAGAGGACAGAGGACAGAGAAGAGAGAAAGAGAGAGGAGAGAGAAAAAAGCAAAAATTGAACCTGAACAGAGCAAGGACCAGTGCCAAGGTTAAAAGGCACCACCTTGGCCACTCCAGAGGCATAGTGTTTGTGTGTATGTGTGTATTTGTTTTGTGTGTTGCCGTAACCTACTCAGCTCAGCCCTGAACATCTCGCGGGACGCCGTCCACTTCGGAGGGTCAGTCTCCATTTCCACCCGGACGTTCTCCACCATCAGGTACATGACGCTCAGAATCACCCTGGAAATAAATCCAAAAATAAGCTGCAGTTAGTCCTTGACTTACAACTGTTTCATTTAGTGACCGTTCGAAGTTACAACGGTGCGGAAAAAAGTGACTTAGGACCGTTTTTCACACTTATGACCGTTGCAGCGTTCCCTCATGGTCAAAATTAGGCTGCTGGGCAACTGACTCACACTTACGACGGTTGCAGTGTCCCCGGGGTCATGTGATTCCTTTGGCGACCTTCTGACAAGTAAAATCGGATTTGCTTAATGACTGTGTTACTAACTGAATGGCACCGATTCACTTAACAACCGTGGCAAGAAAAGTTGTCAAATTAGCAACGGTCTCGCTTAGCAACGGAAGTGGTCATATACGTCAAGGACTACTTGTATTTTTATTGCAAAACAACCTGCTTAATAACTGCCTTGCTCAGCAACGGAAATTTAGGGGGGGGCGGGGCTCCACCGCGGTCGTACGTCGAGGATTACCTGTGAAGGGAAGAATCACGCTGGGACTAACTCACCTGAGTTCGGTGCTGTCCGCTAGAGAGATCGCCGGCTTCCTCAGGGCGCTGCTACGGGCCTCGGTGTTGCTAAAATAAAATAAAAAACACGGAAAAACAGTCAAAAGTTTCCTTTCATCATCATCTTTTAACGACCCCATAATCCCTTGCACCAGAGTCTGGGCAACTGAACGGAGGTGAGTATTTACTGGCCGGATGCCTTTCCTGTCACCAATGCCGAGTTTTGTTCGGTAGATCTATTCTCATTGTGCCCAGAGAGAGAAATATCTGCCTCTACCTAGGATCGAACTCACAGCCTCCCGATTGTGAGGTGAGAGCTCCACCTCTACGCCCCGCACCACTCCACCGCCGAAATTCCTTTGTGTGCAACAAATCAGTATTTAAAGGATAGAAAAATGGTGTTTTTCTATTTATTTGAGCCTTTCCCTAAATCAACCCATTCACGCAACTGAAAGTTGGCAATGGTATAGAAATAAAATTATTATTATTAATAATACGTTCTCCAAATCAGCATCAATGTTTTTATGAAATACAAGCTTTTTTTAAAAAAATAAATAAATAAACTTGTCGCTTGCCAAAGTAAATTCAGCAGCAGGGCGTGCAGAGTCTTTTAGGCCCGTTGCCGAAAACGTCACTTACGCCACTTCCATGTTGAGCAGTTCCAGGAAAGCTGTGAAGGTCCCCATTTGGTACAGCAAAAAGTTGTTGTGTCGCGCCCAGTGGAGGACATCTGCTTCCGTGTCACACTCTCCAAAGACACCTGGAAACCCCACGCAGGTGAGAAGTGAAAAAAAAAAAAAAGAATAGTGAAAATTTTGCCTATTTTTTTTTTTTTGCAGTGTTTCCCAAGCTTGGCCATTCTCCCAGCCAATTCTGAGAGCCGAAATCCAGACATCTTAAAGTAGCTGAAGTTGGAAAACACTGGTTTATAGTGAGCAGTGGGATTCAGCCGGTTCGGGAGAACCGGTAGTTAAATTGCTGGCTGGCCCCACACCTTCCCGCTCCGCCCTTCCAGGAGTCCCCACGTGCCCCATTTTGGCTCCCAGGTAAGTGCAGGGAAGCCTCCTAGGCCCAAAATAAGGCACGGGGGGGGTTTTGGGGTGCGCAGCGCCCCCCCCCACAGCCCGTTTTTGCTCCCAGGAGGCTTCAGTGAGGCTTACTAGGCCCAAAATGGGGCACGGCCTTGTTTTTGCTCCCAGGGGGGTGCAGGAGGCAGAGTACTGCCTGTTATACCCCTTGGCCACGCCCTCCATGGCCACGCCCACCCAGCTGGTCATTAGGGCAGAGAACGGGTTGTTAAATTATTTGAATCCCGCCACTGTTTATAGTGAACAACGAAGAGAAAGCAAAACAAAATATCTTCATTTTTCTAAGACTTGCAAGACTGTTAGCGTAGCTTTACAATAAAGCAGAATTAACTCATCTTGTTACGTTTCCTGTCTTGTCTACCTGGGAAGGCGGATTATCAGTCTTGCAGGTCTGAAAATACAAACCTCCCACCGTCTCTTTTTAAGACTGAGAATTAGAGAATTTCCTTTCTTTCTCCGCCCAGCTGAGGGCTACGCGCTCCCTTATCTGACTGTTCCCTAGGTAGCACTTCTTGGCTGGTCTTTCAAGGTGTTGCTCAGAAGCCATTGTAGGTGCTTAAGTGTGTGGCCTTCACATCCCATGTTCTGCTTAGCGTAGGATTTTGTAACCCTCCATAATTTCACGGTTTTTTAAAAATAAAATCTGTTTGCAATGTTAGCCGTTCCTTGCTCTAAATCATCTTTTCCTTTCTTTACTTTAATAAGATATTGGCCAAAAATATAAGGTGGATAACTTCAGACACATAGAGTAAGGATTTCTAGTAACACAGGTGTGTGTGTGTGGAATAATGCACTTCACACTAAAGGCTGATCTCTTGGTTTAAGGCAGGGGTGAAATCCAGCAGGTTCTGACAGGTTCTGGAGAACCGGTAGCGGAAATTTTGAGTAGTTTGGAGAACCGGCAAATACCACCTCTGTTGGCTCCAGAGTGGGGTGGGAATGGAGATTTTGCAATATTCTTCTCCCAGGAGCGGGGAGGGAATGGGGATTTTGCAGTATCCTTCCCCTGAAGTGGGGAGGGAATGAAGATTTTGCAGTATCCTTCCTCCAGGAGTGGGGAGGGAATGGGGATTTTGCAGTATCCTTCCCCTGCCACGCCCACCAAGCCACGCCCACAGAGCCGGTAGTAAAAAAAATTGAATTCCACCACTGGTTGAGGCGCCAGGCCAGAAAGTGGGAGACGGTGAGTTCTAGTACCGTCTTAGGTGTGAAAGGTGGCTAGGTGACTTTGGACCATCACTAGAAAATTGTGAGTTCTAGTCCCGCCTTAGGCATGAAAGCCAGCTGGGTGGCTGGGCCAATCACAGGGAGAGGGTGAGTTCTAGTCCTGCCTTAGGCATGAAATCCAGCTGGGTGACTTTGGGCCAATCACAGGGAGACGGTGAGTTCTAGTCCTGCCTTAGGCATGAAAACAAGCTGGGCTCTCTCTGTCTCTCTCTCAGCCCAATCCACCTCACAGAGTTGTTGTGTGGAAAATCGGAGGAGGAAGGTGTCAGACTACGATGCTATCTCAAAATTAAATGAATTTCCAAACTGCCAATCTTTAAGGAAATCTTTCTTTAATTGAGCACAGCCACTGGATCATGACTCCACGTGGACAAGACTGACCTTTTGCCCCCCAATCCCTCCCTTTCCGATCCCCAAATCTCTGCTTCTCATTGGCTATCTTCCAAGTCATTCTTCAGACTTCATTCCCCAGGAATGTGCCCCCTCCCCTCATTTCCACGACAACCCAGCTTCAAAGGGATTTAGCAGGCAAAAGTTCCAGAGTTTATCTCTCGCTCGCCTCTGCTCTCCATGCCAGCGTTGAAACGCTGACAGGAGGAGGATTTGTTTGCCACCTTGAGTTATTTGTGAGAATAATAAAGGCAAGATGCAAATTAATTAATTAATCAAACAAACAACCAATCAGGAACTCCCGAAAGGAACCTATTTGGCCCTCGAGAGCTGCCGTTACCTTGTGCCAAATAGAGAACGGCTCGAGCGACTTTCAGCCTTTGGTCCCTGCTGACCACCTCCAGCCCGTCCAATAGCCGCATCACGTAGGTCTTCTTCTGGGTCAGGTCCAACTCTGCCCACCGCTTGCCCTTGGCTGCGGGAAAGGAAGGACCCGCTGAGTTTTCCCATTCAAAGGGTAAGGGAATGGGTTTCCGTACCATACAAGGCACACACAGAAAGAGGAGAAGGCCAAGGAGACAGAAAGCAGACTCGGAAGCAGATGGAGAGACGACACCAAAGGGACCCCAGAAGACCCTCAAATAACAAAAGTTGAAGCCTCCAGAAGAGCAAGAACCAGGACCTTCCATCTCCCTCAACGGCTGAAGGGGTAAAAGAGGGTTGGGGGGAGGAGGAAGGAAGGAAGGAAGGAAGGAAGGAAGGAAGGAAGGAAGGAAGGAAGGAAGGAAGGAAGGAAGAAGAGGTTGTAAAAAACTACAAGTGAAGGAGGAATGGGGAGGAGGAGGAAGAAGAGAAAGGAAGGAAGGAAGGAAGGGGAAGAGGAGAGGAAAGGAAGGAAGTGGAAGAGGGGGAAGAAGTGGAAGGAATGAAGGAGAAGAGGTTGTAAAAGACTACAAGTGAAGGAGGAAGGGGAGGAGAAGAGAAAGGAAGGAAGGAAGGAAGGAAGGAAGAGGAGGAGGAAGGAAGGAAGCGGAAGAGGGAAGAAGAGGAAGGAAGGAAGGAATGAAGAAGAAGAGGTTGTAAAAGACTACAAGTGAAGGAGGAATGGGAGGAGGAGGAAGAAGAGAAAGGAAGGAAGGAAGGAAGGGGAAGAGGAGGAGGAAGGAAGGGGAAGAGGGAGAAGAAGAGGAAGGAAGGAGAAGAGGTTGTAAAAGACTACAAGTGAAGGAGGAATGGGGAGGAGGAGGAAGAAGAGAAAGGAAGGAAGGAAGGAAGGAAGGGGAAGAAGAGGAGGAAGGAAGGAAAGGGAAGAGGGGAAGAAGAAGAAGGAAGGAAGGAAGGAAGGAAGAAGAGGTTGTAAAAGTCTACAAGTGTAGGAGGAATAGGGAGGAGGAGGAAGAAGAGAAAGGAAGGAAGGAAGGAAGGAAGGTTGTAAAGAGGAGGAATGGGGAGGAGGAAGAGGAAGAAAGGAAGGAGAAGTCATATCAAGGATTACAAGTGGAGGAGGAGGGGGAGGAGGAAGGAGAGGAAAGAAGGAGGAAGGAGGAAGGAAGGAAGAAGGAAGGAAGGAAGGAAGGAAGGAAGGAAGGAAGGAAGGAAGGAAAGATGGATCTGCAGGGTGTCCCAATCCGATCAGTGCAACTCTGGGCCCCTCAGAAACACAAATACCCCACCCCCCAAAACAGAGAGAGAGAGGGAGAGAGAGAGAGAGGGAACCGGATGGATGGGACATGGAGGGAAACCTTAGAAGGGAAAAAACGTACCTTGAATCTGGAAATCTTCCTCAAAGCATCTCCTGTTGAGGGCAAATTCGGGTCCCTCGGTGTAGCTGTAGAGCTCTGTTCAAGAAAGATTGATTTTTTTCAAACAGGGAGAGAACGAATAAGCTGCCCTCCGATGATGCCACCCTTGCCTTGGTGCCACCCCACAGCTGCCCTCTCAGCCAAGACAGAGCATGGGGCAGCAGCAAAGCTTAGGCACTGGATTCAAGTCCTTCCTTCTACCCAATCCCCCTGGGGGGCTTCATTCCCTCAAACGAACATCTCTCACAGGTGCTAAAGCGTACAGGAAGTCCTCGACGTATGACCACAATTGGGACCAGAACTTCTGTTGTTAAGCGGGGTGGTCATTAAGTGAGTCACTCCCCGTCTGCACCTGATTTCGCAATCTGTTTTTTTGTAGCGGTTGGTAAACAAATCCGACTTCCCCCCGATTTGACTTTGCTTGTCTGAAGCCAGCTGGGAAAATTGGAAAAGGCGATCACGTGACCCTCGGGATCGTAAACCCAAACCCCCAAATTGCAATTACAGATAGTCCTCAAATTATGACCATAACTGAGTCCAAAATGTCTATTTCTAAGCAAGACTTTTCGCCCCATTTTTCGACCTTTCTGGCCACCGTTGTTAAGTGAATCCCCGCAAGGGTTAAGTTAGCCACATGGTTGTTAAGTGAATCTGGCTTCCCCCTTGACTCTGCTTGTCAGATGGTCGCAAAAGGGGATCACATGACCTCCGGGACGCTGTGACCGTCATAAATACGAGTCGGTTGCCAAGCAATTTTGATCACGTGACCATGGGGATGCTGCAATGGTCGCAAGTGTGAAAAATGGTCATAAAGACATTTTTTACACTGCCGTTGTAACTTTAAACTTTATAAGTGAACCGTTGTACGTCGAGGACTGCCTAAATGTGATGTGGGGAAGCTGTGACAGTTATAAGCGTTAAGTCGCGTTTTCCAGCTTTGTTGTAATATTGAACAGTTGCTAAATGAATGGCGGTTAAGCCGAGAACTATCTATGTAGACTGAAGTCAGTCTCGTGAAAAGCAGGCAAGGATTTCCCATGGAATTTGAAGTTTTGCTGAATAAAGACATTGATTGATTGATGATTGATTGATTGACTGGATTTCTATAGCAGCCCAGTATTAGTTGTTCGCTGAGATTGGTCGCTATAGAAATCAAGTCGAATGAATGAATGAATGAATGAATCAGAATCAGAACTGCTTGCAAAATACCTGAGCATTTTCAGCCAGTGTCCACAAAACCACGAAAGTTGGTGGCCTTCTTTTCAACCCAAGGGAAGAACGTGGCTCCTTCCAGACCTTTCTTACCTGCCAGTTCAGCTGCGTGGCTGTCAGCATCTCCGTACTCAAAATCCAGGTTGGGACAATCCATGGATCCCTGCGGGAGAAGGTCCATCTTGAGTGAGTGAGGCAGGTTCACCAGGGAGTAACCTGAATCTTGATTCTGCGCCAACGGCTAGAGCAGGGGGTCTCCAAACGTGGCCAAATTCACCTGATTCACGGGGCCTGGTGGCTCAGCAGACTGATAGCATTGTGATTAACACCAGCTGTCTGCAATTACTGTAAGTTCGAATCTCACCAGGCTCAAGGTTGACTCAGCCTTCCATCCTTTCTAAGGTAGGTAAATTGAGGACCCAGTTTGTGGGGGCAATAAGCTGACTTTGTATAAAAAATATACAAAAGGATGAAGGCTATTGCTTAACGCATTGTAAGCCGTCCTGAGTCTCCAGAGAAGGGCGGCATATAAATAATAAAAAAAAAGACTTGTGGACTTCAACTCCCAGAATCCCCCCCACCAGCCATGTCTTAAAGTGGCCATGTTTGGAGAGCCCTGTACTAGAAGAAAGCAGAAATCTAGAGAATGCTTCAAATCGAGTTATGGAGAAGGTAGTATAGGAACCACGTTTTGATGGATTTACCATTTACCTTTGACGCAGCAACCCCAGCCACAGCTGTACAGGAAGGCTTCGGGGTACAACTATAATGGAATCCAGTCATAACTCAGGATGATCATAAACCGGTAAGTCATGTGACCGGTCTGATTTTTATCATCCTTTTTACGGCAATCCTTAAGCAAAGGTGGCAGCCAAAAAGTTAATATCACGGTCATTATATCAAAATGGTATGTATGTGTATGCACACACACACACACACACACACACACACACACACACACACACACACAAACATATATGTCAGTGGTGGATTTCACATTATATTATTACCGGTTCGCCACACACACACTTGGTTCATAATGACGGCAGCATTGGTGAAATGCTCTGATAGTTTTTTCTGTTTTTTATCATCCTCTGTGATTCACTACGGATTTCATACTCAAGAGACCAACTACTAAGCATCAAGCAATGTTTCCTTGATGAGCAGCTTTCTGTGAACTCCCACCCCCCAGTCTTTACAAATGCATGTGTTTCTAACATAGGAAGAAGCAACTTCCTCTGAACAATGGATAAACAAACAAAGCAAACGGAGAAGTCAAAGAAGAATAGACTAAGGAAAAATGGGATAAAAAAAACCCTTTCCCTTCACTCTTTCTGACTAATTTACACTCACTCGCTAATAAGATGGATGAAATACTTCTTCTAAATAGAGGCAATTCTGATTTTTACAACTCAGCAGCTCTCTGCTTCACTGAAACCTGGCTAAATGAGTCAATTGATGATAGCCGCCTGCATATCCCAGGATTTCACTTACAAAGAGCAGACAGAATTGCAGAAACATCTGGTAAAAAGAAGGGAGGAGGCCTATCTTTATATATTACCAGCTGCTGGTCCCGAAATATAACTACACTAAAGAAATTCTGTGGTGTGGATTTAAGAGACATTAACATCATGTCAGTTTTTGTGAAGAACTATGTGTGCCGATCAGAAACCTGAGAATATACAGTAACAATAAACCTTGGTTCACAGCTAAACTTAAGCAGCTACTTCGTTCCAAAGAGGAAGCCTACAGAAAAGGTGATAAAATGCTGTACAATGAGGCCAGAAACGTATTAACAAGGGAGATCAGAGCAGCAAAAAGAAGCTACTCTGAAAAGCTAAAGAATCAGTTCTCAACAAATGAACCTGCAAACATGTGGAAAACTCTTAAAAATATCACCTGTTACAGCAAACCTCCTTCCCAGGCTGAAGGAAATCAACAACTGGCAGATGACCTGAATGTGTTTTACTGCAATTTTGAGAGAAAACTACTGCCACCCATCTACACAATCCTCATCTCAGACACACCAACATCAGCCATCTACAACCTACCCCATCCCATTGGGGCCACCACCTCTGGTGATTACAGAGAATGAGGTGCAAGATCTATTTCATAGACAGAAGCCAGGAAAAGCACAGACAAGATAACTCCTTCTTGCTTAAAAGCTTGTGCTGACCAATTGGCCCACACCTTCACCCGGATCTTTAATAATTCACTAGAGATGTGCTATGTTCCTTCTTGCTTCAAATGCTCTACTATTATCCCAGTGCTGAAGAAATCCTCCATCAAGGAACTGAATGACTTCAGACTGGTTGCTCTGACTCTGTTGTTATGAAGACCTTTGAAAGGCTAGTGCTGGCCCACCCGAAAACCATCACAGATCTGCTGTTAGACTGCTTGCAATTTGCCTACTGAGCAAACAGATCAACAGATGATGCTGTTAATATGACTCTGCACTACCTCCTTCAACATCTTGAATCTCCAAAGACCTACGCAAGGGTCCTCTTTATAGACTGCAGCTCAGCATTCAACACCATCATTCCAGACACTCTTCTAACTAAGCTAAATCAACTAGCGGTACCTGAACACACTTGTAAGTGGATCATAAGCTTCCTAACAAACAGGAAGCAGCAGGTGAAGCTAAGCAGAATCACATCAGATACCTGTACAATTAGCACAGGAGCCCCCCGGAGCTCTGCGCTCACTCCACTTCTCTTCTTTCTATATACCAATGACTGCATCTCAAAAGATCCCTCTGTTAAAGTACTGAAGTTTGCAGATGATACAACAGTGATCGGTCTCATTCAAGACAATGATTAATCTACATATGGACGGGAGGTTGAACAACTAGCCTCGTGGTGTGACCGGAGCCATCTGGAACTGAACACACTCAAAACCGTAGAAATGGTGGTGGACTTTAGGAGAAACCCTCCCATGCTTCCACCTCTCACAATATTGGACAACACAGCATCAATAGTAGAGACCTTCAAATTTCTAGGTTCTACCATATCGCAAGATCTAAAATGGACACCCAACATCAAAAACTTCATCAAAGAAGCACAACAAAGAACATTCTTTCTGCGCCAACTCAGAAAACTCAAACTGCCCAAGGAGCTGCTGATCCAGTTCTACAGAGGAATTATGGAGTCTGTCATCTCCACATCCATAACTGTCTGGTTTGGTTCTGCAACCCAACAAGACAGACACGGACTTCAGAGGATCGTTAGAACGGCAGAAAAAACAATGGCTACCAACCTGCCTTCCATGGAGGACCTGTCTACTGCACGAGTCAAAAAGAGGGCTGGAAAAATATTTACAGACCCCTCGCATCCTGGACATCAACTCTTTCAACTCCTAACCTCAGAACGATGCTACAGAGCCTTGCACACCAGAACAACGAGACACAAGGACAGTTTTTTGCCAAACGCCATCACTCTGCTAAGCAAATAATTCCCACAACACTGTCAAACTATTGACTAAGTCTGCATTACTATTAATCTTCTCATCGTTCCCATCACCCATCTCCTCCCACTTATGACTGCATGACTTTAATTTTGTTGCTTGTACCCTTAAGATTTATATTGACTGTTTCCCTATGACTATCATTAAGTGTTGTACCTTATGATTCTTGATGAATATATTTTATTTTTTCTTTATGTACACTCGGACCATATGCACCAAAGACTTTGTGTCCTTGTGTGTCTACTCACACTTGGCCAATAAAGAATTATATAAAGAATTCTATTAAGTGGACCAATGGGACAGTTTTGCTGAAAACTGGAGGTAACTGCCAACAGCCATAAATGCAGTCCAGTTCCTAAGAGTCAGTAACCTGGTCATATGTGTGTATGCGAGAGAAAGAGAGTGAGTGACAGAGAGAGAGAGAGAGGGAAAAAAAAGAGAGAGGAGAGAGGACAGAGACAGAGTGAGAAAAGAGAGAGAAGAGAAACAGAGAGAAGAGAGAGAGAAGAGAGAGAGTGACACACAGAGAAAATAGAGAGAAGAGAGAGGAGGAGAGATGCAGAAAGAGAGGAGACAGAGACAAGAGAGAGACAAAAGAGAGGAAAGAGAGATGAGAGATGAGTGAGAGGCAAAAGAGAGAGAGAAGGGACAGAGAGAGAAGAGAGAAGAAAGAGAAGAGAAACAGAGACAAGAGAGAAGAGAGTTACAGAGAGGAGACAGAGACAAGAGACAAAAGAGAGGAAAGAGAGATGAATGAGAGACAAGAGAGAGAGAGAAGGGACAGAGAGAGAAGAGACAGAGAAAAGAGAGAAAGGAGGGGGGGAGAGACACCATCACAACTTCAAATCCAGAACTTATTCCGAGATCAGCCTGCTCTCCACATAATGTTCAATCAACTCAAGAACTGGGACTTGACTTGAAGGAGAACACAGCAGAGATCCAGGAATCCGCAGAAGTCATCTAATCCCTTTTCTTCCTTCCAGCTGAGGAATGAATAGCTGATCCCCAGCAGCGTGCCATGAAATGTTCAAGCCCACTGTGGATTCGAACTCCTGCCTGGCATTATGTTGCCCGCCTCCAGACGTGGTAGGGGCTTACCAATCTTGAGTTCCCATATCCAACCTGGCTAAGAACCCGGCGGGAGGGAAAGCAACCGTTACGAAACCGACAGCTTGAGACCCTGAAGTCACCCCGGGCCGGGTCTTCAGAGCAAGAAAAGACAGAATTATTCGAAAGCTTCTCAACCTTGCCCACTTTTAAGAGTTGGGGACTTCAACTCCCAGGGAATTCTGGGAGTTGGAAGCCCGCAGGTCTTAAAATGGCCAAGGTTGGCCATTCCTCTTCTCGTTTACATCCTCACCGCTGTTCTCCTGCCCGGTTTAAAACCGAATGAGGTCACTTCATTCAATCTTTTCCTTGATGGCATCTTGCATATTTCACATGCCAGCTTCCTTCGCGTTGGTGGCTTCTAGAGGGGCTTCACTACAACCCCCCGACTCCCCAGCCCCCTCCCCATCTGGGCTTTGCACCCTGACTTTCGAACCAGCTACGTGGGTAGGTAAGATTCCCGTTGGTAGCGTTCAAATCCAGGAGCTCCAACTGATTCCGAGGGTGACCAGAAAGCCCTTTGAGATGCTGAAAGCTTGCTTCGCTCCCCTTCAATCATGCCAACTGGAAGCTATGGGGTGGGGTGGGGGGGTGGACTTCATCCCACCTGGGGGGCTCTGCCTTGAACAGACCTGGGCATTTTATGAGGCCTTAGTTAGTAAGACCACATTTGGAATAGTGCATCCAGATTTGGTCACCACCCTATAAAAAAGATGTTGAGATTCTAGAACAGGGATGACAAACCTTTTTGGCACCGAGGGCCCAATCTGGAACATGTGTCCATGCATGTGCATATGTGCGTGCCGGAGCACCGGAAATCCGAAGAACAGCTGGCCAATGCGCATGTGCGTGCCAACCAGCTGGTCTTCGGGTTTCCGGCATGGACGTGCGCGCCGGCCAGTTGGTTTTCGCAGGCACCGGAGCACCGGAACCCCAAAGACCAGCTGACTGGCGCGCGCATGCCTGTTTTTTTTGGCTTTTTTCAGGCCAAAAAACGGCCCCAAAACAGCTGGAAAAACAGCCTGTTTTTTGGCTGTTTTCCAGATCGTTTTTCTGGTGCTCCAGCGCCTGTGAAGATCAGCTGGCTGGCACACATGTGCATGCGGGAAACCAGAAGAGCAGCTAGCGACGGCAAGCGTGTCCAGAGAGAGGTCTCTGCATGCCAACTCTGGCACGCGTGCTATAGGTTCGCCATCACGGCTCTAGAAAGAGTGCAGAGAAGAGTGCAGAGAAAACGATTAGGGGACTGGAGGCTAAAACGTACAAAGAACGGTTACAGGAATTGAAAGGTCGAATTTAATGAAAAGAAGGACTGGGGGGGACAGGATAGCAATAGTCCCAATATTTGAGGGGCTGCCACAAAGAAGAGAGGGTCAGAAATGGGAGAGGGCAGTGGTGGCAAACCTTTCACTTACAGAGCGCCGAACAAGAATGCACTTTGCGCTCTGTGCGTGCTCGCAAACAGTCCGCGATAACGTGTGGCTCCTCCCCGTGTGCTACGCGCACAACTGCACCATCTGCGCATATGCGCAGCTTTCGTGCACGCAATGCACATGTGCAAATGTTGTCTGCGCATGCATGCACCAGTGATCTCACACACATGTGCAAACACGTGCGTATGCGTAGGAGAGCTCCGAAGACCAGCTGGGTCTCCTGAATTGCGCGTATGCGCACCAGAGGCCTGAACATGAGCTGGGGGGCGTGTGCATGCGCAGTTTCAGGTGAGCTTGGCGACGGCTTGCGTGCTCGGAAAAATGGCTTCCGGCACGTGTGCCATAAGTTTGCCAACACGGGGATAGGGTTTCCTGCTTGCGGGGTGGGTGGGGGTGGGGTTGGACTAGATGACCTTCGAGGTCCCTGCCAACTCTGTTACTCTGTTTTCCAAAGCCCCTGAAAGCAAGACAAGAAACAAAGGATGGGAACCAGCCAAGGAGAGAAGCCTCTCCAGATAGAGCTAAGGAGAAATTTCCCAGCAGTGAGAACAATTCACCAGTGGAACAGAAGTGGTGGCTGCTCCGTCACGGATGGTTTTCGAAGAAGAGAGTGGGCGGGCAGGCCCTTGCCTTGAAATCAAGCCATGGGGGTGGACTAGAAGACCTTCAAGGTCCCTTCCAACTCTGTTCTTTTAAGGGTTCCTTTGGCCGTCTCTCTCCGGCTCACGTGAGATCAATTGGAAATTAGAAATCAAATGTAAATAAGTGAACGACATCCACGCAACTGAACAAAAAGAGCAGAATTCTGGAGACAAATTTCTTTTGTGTCTAATCACAGTTGGCCAAATAAAGCATTTCCTTCCTTCCTTCCTTCCTTCCTTCCTTCCTTCCTTCCTTCCCTCCTTCCTTCCTTCCTTTCCTTCTTCCTTCCTTTCCTTCTTTCTTTCTTCCTCTCCTTCTTCCTTCTTTCATTTCTTTCATTTCTTTCCTTCCTTTCCTTCTTCCTTCCTTCCTTCATTTCTTTCCTTCTTCCTTTTCCTTCCTTCCCTTCTTCCTCTTTTCCTTTCTTTCTTCCTTCCTTCTTCCCTTCCTCCTTCCTTCCTTCCCTTCTTCCTTCCTTCCTTTCTTCCTCCTTCCTTCCTTTCCTTCTTTCTTTCTTCCCTTCTTCCTTCTTTCATTTCTTTCCTTCCTTCCCTTCTTCCTCTTTTCCTTTCCTTCTTCCTTCCTTCCTTCATTTCTTTCCTTCTTCCTTTCTTTCCTTCCTTCCCTTCTTCCTCTTTTCTTTCTTTTTCTTCCTTCTTCCCTTCCTTCTTCCTTCCTTCCTTTCCTTCTTCCTTTCTTTCCTCCTTCCTTCCTTCCTTCTTCCTTTCTTTCCTCCTTCCTTCCTTTCTTTTCTTTCTTCCCTTCTTCCTTCTTTCATTTCTTTCCTTCCTTCCCTTCTTCCTCTTTTCCTTTCCCTCTTCCTTCTTCCTTCATTTCTTTCCTTCTTCCTTCTTTCTTTCCTTCTTCCTTCCTTCATTTCTTTCCTTCTTCCTTCCTTCCGTCTTCCTTCCTTCCTTTCCTTCTTCCTTCTTTCATTTCTTTCCTTCTTCCTTCCTTCCTTCTACTCACTCACTCACTCAAGTTCTGCCCTCCATAACAGTCCCACTTCTTCATGCGGCCCCTTGGGGGGAAACCAATGCCCCCCACCCCCGCCCTTGTGGAAGGCTATTTTAGGAGCCCCCCCCCTCCTCCAAAAACGAACGCAGCTGCAATGCACGGAAGGGCCAGAGGGAGGCAGGCGAGAGGCATCCCTGGAAGGCGCAGCAGCCCTTCCCTCACAGGTAGCCAAGACCTCCAGCGCATGGAGCTGCCTCGCTGACCCACTGATGGCCCACAGCTGCTGCCGGGCTCCTCTCTAGGTCTGTGCCCCCCCCCCATACCTCACCAGGGGGTTGGGCCAATTTTTGCCAGCTTTTGCTCCAATGGGCAACTCTCCACCCCCCCCCCTTGGGAAAATACTAAAAAAAGTGAATGTATCAGTGGGGGTGGGGGGTAATTTTTCTGCCCTTCCATGGGGGCAGCTGGGGGGGGTGAGAAAGGGGGCGACCCCCCCTGGCATGCAGCACCAGAGACCATCCGAACCGGACCCAAGAATGCTTCCAATTCAGCCTCTTGCAAAGGGGGCGAGAGGGGGAAGGGTCCCCAAGGGGGAGCAGCGATGCCAGGGAGGGGCTGCAGCAAAGCCCCCTCCTCACCCTTCCAGCCGCCCCCCCCCCCCCCCCCCCCCCCCCCCCCCCCCCCCGGATCTCCCCCCCCCCCCCAGAAGGCAGCTTTTCCCCTCCCGGGGGTCCCAGCCCCTCTGCGGCGCCCCCAGACCCCCAAGGCTGCGACCCCCCGCCCAGCCCCGGCCCCGGCCCCTCCACCTCGGCTTCCCTCCGCGCGCTGCTGGCCAGCGGCCCCCTGCCCGGGGCTCCGCCGCCCTCCTCCATCCGCCCGGCAGAGACACGTGGGGGCAGCGCGGAGCTTCCCAGCCCTGGTCCCCGCGCGCCACGCCCCCCCCGGCCCCCATTGGCCGCCAGGCGCCGGTAGGCGGGGCCCGGCGCGCACACCCCCTCGCGGCCATTGGCCAAGCCGGGGAAGGGAGCCCCCTGTGGGAGAGCTGTAACCAGGGCAGGTGGAGAAAAGGGGCGGGGCGAGGGCGCCTCTGAGCGTGTGCAGAGTGGAGGGATGGCTGGATGGATGCCTGTGCGCCTTAGCTATGGGCCAGTCCTCGACTTCCGACCCCAAGGGAGCCCATTCATTTCCTGTCCGTGGCTAAGCGAGACAGTTGTTAAAAGCGAGCTTTGCCTCCGTTTTACGACCTTTCGGGCTACACCGTCGTTAAGCGAGTCGCCGGCGTTGATAAGTTAGTAACCTGGTTGTTAAAGTGAATCCGGCTTCCCCATTTGACACGGCTGGTCGCAAAAGGGGGAATCGCGTGACCTTGGGACACAAGCAACCGTCGTTAAGTGTGAACCGAGCGTCTGAATTTTGGCCAACGGCAAAGGGTGAAGCTTTTGTGAAAAAAACGATCCCAAGTCACTTTTTTTCAGGGCCGCTGGGACTTGGAACGGTCGCTAAACGAATTGTTGTAAGTCGAGGACTACCGGTAACTGTTCTGTTGGATTCCGAGGTCCCTCATCCACAGCCAGCCGGGGCAGGAAAGGCTGCAGAAGCCCACAGTTGCTCTTCCCTGAGCAATGCACAGGGGGGGTCTCTGAGCTCTCCGCAGCTCTTGGTGCGGCTGGGACCCGCAAGTGAAAGCCCGGCCTTCCGAGCCCCAACAACAACCCTGCAAGGCTGGCCGAGAGGAGCATGGTTTCCCTGGCGCCTTTCCAATCATTTCCAAGTGGGGCGCCATCTCCAGGTCATCGCGGACGGGCTACCACACCACAGACCCTGTCCAGGCAACTGCTTCCCAAGGAAGTACTACCAAACCCATCAGCATGTCAGGTGAGGACAGCAGAACCTTCAAGGGGAAGGAGGGAGAAGGAGGAGGAGGAGGAGAGGAGCAGGGCAAGCCCCCCCCCCCGCTGAGCCCCATCCTTTGCCTCTTACAGATTATACCCCCAGCATCAGCTCGGTGGACTTGAGGTGGAGCTGCTACGCGTCCGATTCGACTTCCTCAGCACCTTTCATAGAACGGTAGGCGGAATGGGCTTCCCGGATAGATCCAGCCAGGGATGAGCTCCGGGCTCCCCAGCCCCTTGCTTGTTCATGGAGGAGAGCCAAGGAACCCCAGTCTCCTCGGCAAGGGAGAACAGTCTCCATGGTGGCAGGACGCAAAATCTTTTGAGATTTACCCGGGGAGAAAATGCAGCTTTTCCCACGAGATGTTCTGACCCAGCTTTAGCAGAAACAAGAAACAGACTCCTTGTCCCGAAAAAAACCCCTCTTTCTTTATTATCTCCTGTGAATTAATGGCATTCACACACCGAAAAGTCCAGGCAAGAGTCCTTCAAGGAGTTAACTGCATTAACAGACCTTATCAGTTACTTGAGATAATTGCCAAGCGGGAGCTTCCAGCCGCGAAGCTGTAAATTAAGTTCTGGCAAGCAGTCTTTGATGCACGAAACACAATGAGCAAAATCTTCAGAAATACGAACGGTTGTCTCCTACGACCACCCGTCCCCTTTTCCTTCTATTTATTCCCCAGCCAGGGAGGGGCCATTTAGCGTCTACATGTGCTTTGCTTCCCGAGTCGACTCCTTGTCCTCCGTTGTTCTCTTCTCCTAAGTGCTCTGCGCATATGTGCGTCTGGAACAGCCCCAGCTGTTCTTCCTCCTCACTCATGTCAGCCTCCAAAGGCAGCTGCCTCTCCAGTGACTGGGAAATGTCGGACAGTCCTGGCTCTATCTCTGTGTCCGACATAGAGCATTCATCAGAGCCTACTCCAGAACTGGCCCAAGTCCCTCCCAACCTCCTCATCGTCCGAGTCTCCCACCCAACCTTGGAAGCTTGAAGATGGGTGGACTTCAACTCCCAGAATCCCCCAGCCAGCGCTGCTGGCTGGGGGATTCTGGGACTTGAAGTCCACCCATCTTCAAGCTACCAAGGTTGAGAAACACTGCTCTAGGATCTCAATTTAAGAAACCAATTCTTATAGCTACGGAGGATATCATCTTTGACCGATCACCCAGGGGATCTCTTGGGGAGGGGGGTGTAAAAAGGCCCATTGGTTCTAACGCAAAGAATCCACTCATTTCAACAAGATTCAGACGGTTAAAAACAACCTGGCGGGAATCTTTGGGGAGCGAATCCCTGCAAGCTGTCCTTACCGCTTTCTACCCGTTTACACAGAATCCGGCTGGGCTTCCTATCTTGGGACCGAAAGGAGAACTGAGCTATGCCAGGGATCTCGTCGTGTACACTTTCAGGGGAGAAGATTCTCGGGGCGTCCATCCGATCGAGGGGCGACTCTTCCTTTCCGCGCAAGCGGGACCCCCCCCGGGAGACGCTCTCCGTCCTCGGATGGCTCCGCATCCAGCCGAGCTCAGTCACAATCGGAGACTGGAGAAGCGTCATAAATAAGAGTTCTGAGCTTGGGTTCCAAAGGCCGGGCGGAATCAAACAAGATCGTCGATCTCATTCTGGAAACAAGAGGCGGTGGCGGGGAAGAGAGAGCGGCTGGGGAAGATCGGGTGAGATCTCTCTCTTGAGCTCTCTCTCTCTCTTTGTGGGAGGGTCTTTCCTAACGGGATCGCAGATCGCGCCAAGCGGGGAACGAAGAATCCAGAGATAAAATAGAAATAGTGCTGAGAGTAATATACCACTTCACAGCCCTCTCTAAGCGGTTTACAGAGTCAGCATAATTGCCCCCCAAAAATCTGGCTCCGCGTTTTACCCACCTTGGAAGGATGGAAGGCTGAGCTGACCTTGAGCCGATCAGGATCGAACTGCTGAAGAATTAGTTTGCAGTAATGCATTCTAACCATTGCACCACCACAGCTCCCTCCTTCCTTCCTTCCTTCCTTCCTTCCTTCCTTCCTTCCTTCCTTCCTTTCCTTCCTTCCTTCCTTCCTCTCCTCCCTCCCTCACTTCCTTCCTCTTTCTCCCTTAGCATTTAGCAATAACCCTTAGACTTATATACCGCTTCACAGTATTTACCGCCTTCTCTAAGCGGTTCTTTTTTTTTTTTTAATTGAAAATTATTAAAAATTACAGGAAAAAAAGTATAACAATATGGATAGAATTGCAGAGAGTAATATAATACATATAGAGTTTTAATTTTCGCCTAGAGAAAGAACAAACCTCCATTAAACCAACTCATCAAAAGAAAGAAAAGTTTATCCAGAAGTAAAAATTCTCAACTGCCATGCAATGCTCCTATAAATATTTACCCACGTTCACATTAAGGTTAATATTTTCATTCTTCTTAAGATTTCTTTTTTTGCAGCCAAGCATACCATCTGTCCCAGCTCCTATATAACCCTGATTCTTGTCTATCTTGCAAAAGTCCAGTAAGCTTGTCTGCTTCTGCACAGTCCATGATCTTAACCGCAAAGATCATGGACTCTAAGCGGTTCTCAGAGTCAGCCTATTGTCTGCAACAATCTGGGTCCTCATTTGACCGACCTGGAGCTGGTCAGGATCGAACTGTTGGCAATCAGCAGAGGCAGCCTGCAATGCTGCACTCTAACCACTGCGCCACCATGGCCCTTCCTTCCTTCCTTCCTTCCTTCCCTTCCTTCCTTCCTTCCTTCCTTCCTCCCTCCCTCCCTCCCTCCCTCCCTCCCTCCCCCTTCCTTCTTTAGCACTTAGTAATAGACTTATATACCGCTTCACAATGCTTTTCCAGCCCTCTCTAAGCGGTTTACAGAGTCAGCCTCTTGCCCCCAACAATCTGGGTCCTCATTTTACCCACCTCGGAAGGATGGAAGGCTGAGTCAACCTTGAGCCAATCAAGATCGAACTCCTGGCAGATGGCAGAGTCAGCCTGAAATACTGCATTCTTCTAACCCCTGTGCCATCAAGTCTCTTGTTGGATGTCGGATTACGCTGAGTTGCACAGCAATGGTGAACATGAGCCGGATATGGAAAAACAAGGATATCAGCCTGGCAACCAAATCTAGGTTAGTCTGCTCTATCGTGTTTCCCTGTATCTACTGATGGTTGTGAAAGTTGGGACCTTAAAAAAGTGAGAAATGAAGACACTCATTTGAGCCATGATGCTGGAGGAGGCTCCTCCTGCATCTTCCTTGGACAGCAAAGATGACAAGTGAGTCCTGTAGCGCATAACCCCCAGACACACCACGGGAAGGCAAAATCACAGAATTGTGTCTTACTTTGCCCACGTCACGTTTGGGGAGTTCACAGGAGAAAGCAATTCTTTTTGGAAGAGTAAACTGGTAAAAGGAAACAAGGGCAGCGAAGAACATGGTGACACACTAGCCAGAACATAGAACAACTCAAAAGAGTAACGTAAGATTGGTAGATATGGAGAGACCCATATGGCCCACAGAATCGCCAAGAGTCGGACACGACTGAATGGATAATATCATCCTCATTGTGGGAGGATAAATCTATGTCAGCATCTCCTTCTGTCCTCCTATCGCAGCACCATTGAGAGTGTCCTGACATACGGCATTCTTGCATGATATGGGAGCAGCTCTGCAGTGGACAAAAATGCTCTACAGAGAATCATTAAAACTGCCCAGAATATCATCGGACTCCAGCTACCAGCCCTGGATGACATCTTCGAATCTTGCTGTTTGAGGAAGTTGCATAACATTCTCAGAGACTCTCCCCATCCTGCTTACAATCTGTTTGGACTGCTGCCTTCTGGCAGAAGATACGGAACAATTAAAACTCGGACCACACGACTTCGGAATAATTTTTATCCCAGAGCTAAAATTGCACTCAACAATGAACTCAAGGGCCATCATCAGTGAGCTCTTGGACAGCATTACTTGATCTGTTGTGTGGATGTTTGGGTAGTTTAGGGGTGGAGA